AATCGATGACTCTTATCGGAGGACCTCGATATGAATCATCCCAGGGCGGCTATGTGCCCGGTTAACCTTTGTACGACCTTTACGTTATCTACTACCGTGATGTCCTCGATAGCTTTAATCTTATCGGGGTTGATCTTGATTCCTCGGTTGGATACCATGAATTCGAGAAACTTTCTTGACCCGACCCCGAACGCACATTTTTCTGGGTTCATCTTTATGTTATATTTTCTCAATATACTGAAGGTCTCCTGCAAGTGCTTCAAATGGTTCTCTGCTTGCAGGGACTTAACTAACATATCATCGACGTAAACTTTCATAGATTTCCTTATTTGTTCTTCAAATATCCGATTTGCTAGGCGTTGGTACGTGGCACAAGTATTTTTTAATCCAAATGGCATTACGCTATAGCAGTAAGTCCCATATTTAGTGATGAATGAGGTCTTTTCCTGATCATCCGGGTTCATTTGTATTTGATTGTACCCAGAATAGGCATCAAGAAAACTGAGGATCTCGTGGTCGGCCGTGGCATCGATCATGCGATCGATATTAGGCAAAGGAAAAGAATCCTTGGGACATGCTTTGTTTAGGTCTTTGTAATCTACACATATTCTAAGTTTGTTTCCTTTTTTAGGAACTACCACTATGTTTGCAGAACAAGAGTGGGTTGCTCTAGTGGTAAGCACCCTCCACTTCCAACCAAGAGGTTGTGAGTTCGAGTCACCCCAAGAGCAAGGTGGGGAGTTCTTGAAGGGAGGGAGCCGAGGGTCTATCGGAAACAGCCTCTCTACCCCAGGGTAGGGGTAAGGTCTGCGTACAAACTACCCTCCCCAGACCCCACTAGTAGGATTATACTGGGTTGTTATTGTTATTGTTGTTGTACCACTACGTTTGCTAACCATTCAGGGTATTTTACTTCCCGGATGGACCCTATTTTAAGAAACTTGGTTACCTCATTTTTGATGAAGGTGTGCTTGATCTCGGACTGGGGTCTTCTTTTCTGTTTCACCGGATGGAACTTCGAGTCCAAGCTTAGTTTATGGGTGGTGATTTCTAGTGGGATCCCTGTAATGTCGAGATAAGACCAAGCGAAACAATCCACGTTAGCTATAAGAAATTGAATAAGCTTTTTCTTGAGATCGGGATTTAACCCTGTGCCAAGGTATACCTTTCGTTCGAGCAGATATTCGATTAGTATGATTTGCTCCAGTTCCTCAACCGTTGATTTGGTGGCGTCGGAGTCATCGGGGATTATAAAAGATCGAGGGATTCCATAATCATCATCTTCGTTAGTCCCCTGCTTCTCTAGTTGGTTCGAGGCCAGTGTCTGTGATTGCTATTCGACCTCCTATTTTCCCTTAGAATTTGACCCCTTCGTCGATGAGAGTGTCGATATCTAAATCTCTTCGTCAACGACAAACATTTCCTTTGCAGCGGGTTGCTCCCCGTAGACTATTTTGATTCCCTCTGGTGTTGGGAATTTTAGAACCCAGGGAAGGGTTGAGGGCACTACTCTCATGTGTAGATCCATGGTCTCCCGAACAGGGCATTATACCTCATGTCTCCCTCGATCACATGGAACTTCGTCTCTTGGATGGTCCCGGCCACGTTTACCGGCAAGGTTATCTCACCCTTAGTAGTTTCACATGCCATGTTGAATCCGTTTAGCACTAGGGCCGCGGGCACAACTTAGTCCTGTAGGCCGAGTTGTTCTACGACCCTCGACAGAATGATGTTGGTCGAGCTACCTGGATCAATTAAGACAAGTTTAACTTGAGTCTTATTCGTGAGTACAGATATTACCAAAGTATCGTTATGGGGCTGCATGATCCTTTCTGCGTCCTTATTGTTGAAGGACAAGGTTCTTTCTGGTATGTAATCCCGAGTTCACTTTCCCTTATGATCTACACCTTGGCACATTTTAACATCGGCCCTTGGGGAACATCGACCCCTCCGATAAATCATATGAATAACGTGTTGCAGTTTTTCTTGTTCATTTTGTCTGTTGGATTCTCTGTTTTTGAAATGATTCTTGGCTTGATCACTTAGAAACTCCTGAAGGTGCCCGTCGTTAAATAACCGGGCTACTTTTTCTCTCAACTATTTGCAATCTTCCGTTCTGTAGCCATGGGTGCCATGATACTTGCACATTTAGTTGGAATTTCTCTGGGCTGGATCGGTCTGTAGAGGTCAAGGCCATTTAGTATCTTTGATGCGTCCGATAGCCGATACGATGGCGGATGCATCAACATTGAAGTTATATTCCAACAATCGTGGTGCTTCTTTAGGTCCGGTATGCCTGTCAAAACCATTCTTGCTCATGAGCCTTCGAGAGATCTGGCCTCGATCATTTCTTCTTTCACCTCGTACAGGGTTGTGCCCCGATCCGTTTCCCTTACGATCTTCATTATACGGTTGGTATCGATCCCTGTTCAACCTTGGTTATCGATCAATGTCCCTTTTGTTTCTGTCAATGGGCCTGATAGGATAAAGGACCCGGAAGGAGCCCCCAGCTGGTCGTCTTCGACTCTAACCTTCGATTGATATCGATTATGTACATCGGCCCAGGTAAAAATCGGGAACTCAATCAAGTTCTGCTTCAACTGCTGTGAAGCCACTGAGCTTCGTTCATTTAGTCCTTAAGTGAAATCTTGAACGGCCCAATCATCGGAGACCGGTGGTAGATCCATTAGTTCCATTTGGAACCGAGACACAAACTCTCTGAGCATCTCGTTATCTTTCTGCTTTAACTTGAAAAGGTCAGACTTCCTAGTTTCGACCTTTATGGCCCCGGCATGTGCTTTTACAAAAGAATCTTCAAGCATGGCAAAAGAATCGATAGAGTTAGGTGGTAAATTATGGTACCATATCATTGCTCCCTTTGACAGGGTTTCCCCGAATTTCTTTAGTAATACGGATTTGATCTCGTCGTCCTCTAGGTCATTCCCTTTAATCACACACGTGTAATAGGTGACATGCTCGTTGGGTTCGGTCGTTCCATTATACTTAGGAATCTCGGGCATGCGGAACTTATTGGAGATCGTTTTGGGAGCCGCGCTCGGGGGGGGGAGGGCTTTTGTACGAACCTTTTGGAATCCAAACCCTTCAATATCGGTGGTGCCCCCGGGATCTGATCAACCCTGGAGTTATAAGTTTCCACCTTCTTGTCGTTTGCTTCAATCTTCTTTCCCGCTAACTCTATCCGCTTTGTTAGTTCCTCGAGTATTTTTATAATTTCAGGGTTAGTCCCCGATTCTTGTTCATTTGACCTTATCATGGCTGGCCCCGTTCTGTGGGTGACTTCTTGGGGTGGACCGGGCTCAGCCCTGCTTGTTGCCTGGGATGGGCTCTGCAACTGAGCTATTGCCACCTATTGAGCTTGCAGCATTTCGAAGATTATACGTAGGTTGATCCCGTCTTCTCCGATATTTTGGGTATTTCGAGTTGTAGATCGGGTTCCACCATGGACGTTGTTTTCAGGACCAGTATGCTGGTTCGCGTCGATGACCACATGTGAATTAACGTCAATCGAATCCAAATCCCGAGTCCCAACGGGGTCAGCCGGTGGCCTTACATCACCGGGCGTCACGTTGTTATTCTCACCTTGATGGCAAGATCCGTTGTCGATATGCAGGGGCAGTAATTGAGAGTTCGTCATCTTTAGCCTGAAATCAAAGACACTTCAAAAAGCAAGTATAAAGTAGTGTATTTTATAGAGATTTGTATTAAATAACCACTATTATCCTTAGCCCCACGGTGGACGCCAAACTATTTACTCGAAAAATAGATAACAATTGAATTTATGNATATATATTAAAATTAACTGTAAAAGAAATAAATGTAAACCAAATGAATCAATTAGCCTAGGCTCTCACGTTCGATCACCCTCAAACCAAGTGGAGAATAAACTGGTACAAGAACAAAATAACTAGATATTGAAAACCAAAAAAAAGATAGTATATTGCTTTTTATTGCATAAAGAAATCTCTGCGTCTACAAATGATCAGACCCCTTTTATATAGTAGGAAAGTCTTACTCTTGATATATTTCTAAATACAGTAAGGAATCTCGTGATAGGTTAATTAATTGGCCTTTCCTCGCTATGCGCCGGAATTTCCGTCGTGATTCTCACCCAATTGTGGATATTCCGGCTTTCTGTTTTTTGGCTCGATAAACTTCCCTCGGTCTCGTTCGATTTCTATCTTGTTCGGTCTCGATCTTGGACGGTCCTGATCTCGATTGGTCTCTAGGTTACGAGCTCGGCACTCAAATCTCGCATCACAGTTCGATATTACACGAGTTCGAACCTTGTCCTATTATGTTCCAATCTTGATTAGTCATACGAAGGACAAGCTCGATTTTGACCGTATACCAAATATAAGAGTGGCAGTAAACTATAGTAAGCTATCAAAAAACCTGCTCCTATTATTTTTGTTTTCTAATGCAAGTAATGAAGTATAAGAGATATGAAAGGTAAAATAATTGAACTTTTTCCTAATAAACAAGTGTAGCTAGATATCACCGAACAAAAAGTCATATTCTTAGATCACAATGAATCGGAAGTCAGAGTACATCCTTTTATTATGTAAGCAGATAGTGTAAACTGTAAAGTTACACAGTATAGCAGGAAAATTAAGTTTTCTCTTAAGATGCAATGAAATAATATGGAAGTTAGTGTAATTTTGGATGGAGGGTAAATAGTTTCAATGTACATGAAATAGGAAAATATTTATTACAATCACATAATAGTTCCTTTATTAGTAGAATATATAATTAGTTTCAGTTAATATATACTATTATTAAAAAAATTCCTTTTTTAACATTTACAAACATAGTCATCTTATGAATATTATGCACAAATTGCTTAATTACAACACCAACATACTAACCTTGTTCCTATCTAGTTTCGCCTCGCCAAACTAATTTTACACTACCTTCTCCTATAAATAAGACTTGCAACACTTAGTGTTAATCACTCATCTGACAGTTTTTAGTTTAAAAAAATGGCCATACAATTCAACTTTCTCCTCCTCTCAAGTTTCTCAGTCCTAATTATTGCTTCTACTTTCTTTCATGTTTCCTCCGCAAAGAATGGCCTGAAACATAATTTCCTTAATGGTGAGCAACCCATAAACCCAAATGACCCTAAAGTTGTGGGAATCGCAACATTTGCTGTGAATGACCACAACAAGGAGGCTAAAAGTAACTTTCGACTTGTAAGAGTGATGGCAGGAGGAACTGATGTAACTCCTGACGGTACTGTTTATCAACTGCAAATCAGTGCCAATGAATCAAATGTTATCACAACCCGTCTCGTGGCTGTTTTAGTGCATTCAAACAATGTTAAAGACCTTCTTTCCTTTGAATGATTATCCTTTCTTATAATTTTAGTGTACGTTCATCAAGAAATGATTATATTAGAAGCATTTATATTAAATAAACTATTTGAATTAGACTGTTTATCTTGTTCTATTGATTCGTTTGACCATATTAAAGATGGATGATAAATTTTCATTTTGGATAAATCGAATAAATTCTATTGATATTACACAAAATTAAACTCCAAATGTCCCAATTGTCTATTTTGAGAGTTTCAAAATATATATCACATGGTATTTTTCTATTTGCTAATCCATCCTGTATCTTGGGGAAATTGCGCAGAACTCATTCTTCCATAAATCTAGAATTAAGGGTTGTGTGACAAAAAAAAATGACAATGCTGTAAGCCTATAACGGAAAATCCCATCTACAAACTTATCACTTTTCTTGTTAGTGATATAGCCTAAAACACTGCAGATACAGCCTTTTCTCTTCCTAATTTCTCATACTAGTTTTTCCCCAATGTTGATTAATCCACCAATTCACTTAGCTTCTATGATTACTAAAATTTTCCAAATTTATTAAGAATAACACCACATGATCTCTGCAATTTTCTATAAATTAGATGAGAAAAACAGAGGTAAAAGGATTGGTCATTCATCACCGTTCCGTGCATCAGTACGTGAAAATTTTGAAGTATTTGACTGCCATTATTAGAAGTTGTTAATTGCTACATGTAGATCAACTAATTAATGGGATTTCATCAGATCTGTGATTTTAGTCTAGTTTCTTTCCAAGGAGTTTCATAATGCAAGGCTAAAGATTCAATATAAGAATCTTGTATAAAAATTTATAGTAAATCGAGTTTTTTTAAAATACTTTTTTGGATAATTTGAGAATTTGTTGAAAGTGATTCCTGTTCCTGTTTTTAGTTCATTACATGCATAAGTGTAGTATTTTCGTTTTTGTTGTCTTCTTGATTTCTTCTTTATCTTGTTGTTTATAGTACAGTATAACATTTGGCTATAGGAAGGAACCATTCTGCAATTAAACAGTAATAATGTTGCTGCTCATCCCCTTTTTTGTTGCTAGGAATTGGATGGAAACCAAAGAACTTTGGGCCTTAGACTTCAAGATTTGATCGTACTCATAAGAAATACCTTCTGCCAGAAAGATAACTCCTTGACATAATGTTGATCATAGTTGTAAAATTAGATTTTTTTCGCAATCACAACGGTTAAATATTACTCCACAGTTTTTGGGAAAGCATCAGAAAAAGAAATAGCTACAGTTACATACAATTTTAAGGAAAGAAATGATCTTTGCCTGCCTGTTGAAAACTTTACAGCCTATCGTGGTTCCACTACAGTTATGGAATCAGTATTCACAGAAACTTGGCTATTAGAAGATCCTTGCTCTGAAGAACCATGTCCTCCGCCTCCGGTAAATGCAGGTTGCTTAGGAGTAGGTAGTTCAGCAATGTCACTAGTGAGCATTGATAGAACCGTGGAGATATTTGGCCTATCTTCTGCATATTCTTGAACACATAATAATCCAATATGTACACATCTCACAACCTCTTTCTTAAAGCTTGGATCAAATACTTTGGAGTCTACCAATTTTACAATATTGTTTTCATTCCACAACTTCCATGCCTGAAGAGCAAAGACATTGACAAACAGTGAAAAGATTGTGTTCAGAAGTTTCGTGTTTTTTCTCTTTCTTTCTTTTTTCTTTATCATTTTTTTATAACTAATCAAAGTACTGAACTTACATATGCAAATAGAGTCAGTTCATCTTCATCGTCGTAAAAACTGGAATTCTTCCTTCCACTGACAATTTCCAATATCAACACTCCAAAGCTATAGACATCTGATTTTTCTGAGAATCTTCCATGCATTGCATATTCAGGGGACATGTAACCACTGCATAACATATAAAAAAGGAGACCCAATAACTAATCATGTCATTTCATCCAGACAAAATTAAGGAAGCAATCCAAACTTACTATGTGCCAACAACTCTTATAGTGTTGGCCTGATCTTGATTTCCTCCAAATATCCTCGCCATGCCAAAATCTGAAATTTTTGGGTTTAGTTGTTCATCCAACAGGATGTTGCTTGCTTTCAGATCTCTATGAATAATTCGTAGTCTCGAGTCTCTGTGAAGGTAAAGGAGGCCTCGACCAGTTCCTTCAATAATGATGGCTCTCTTACTCCAATCAAGGAACTTTTCCTGGTGTGAACCTAAAAAGGAAGAAATGTTTGATGGATTTTGTTTCCTTAAGACAGTACAGCTTTTGTTTGATTTTGGATGTCCTTAAGTAACAATAACACGCAAAAACAATGAAAGAAAGTTAAGCACTAACCAAAGATATATGCATCTAAGCTTCTATTCGGCACGAAATCATAAACCAGCATCTTTTCCCCTCTCTCTATGCAGCAGCCGAGAAGTCTAACAAGATTACGATGTTGTAGTCCAGAGATCACGACGACTTCATTCATAAACTCTTCTAGCCCCTGACTAGAAGACTGTGAAAGCCTTTTTACTGCAATTTCTTGTCCATCTTGAAATTTTCCCTGCAGACAATTGATCTAATTTATTTCATATTTTGCTCATTCGTCAAAACACTGCAGAGCTGCATCGAGAGACATTACTTTGTAGACTGGACCAAAGCCTCCTTGCCCCAGCTTGCTAGCCAAGTGAAATTTGTCAGTTGCATTTGCTAACATGTCAAAGCTGTACAAGGTCATGTCTTCAATTTTGACTTTGTTGATGTCATCTTTAATCATGCTTTCCTTGTAATAGTTTTGAGATGCTTCTCTTAAGAATGCTTCATTTTTTCTCTTCCTTCCTGGTTCAGAATGGATATTCAGAAATTAAATGATCTTCAAAGTAAAAGCTCTAGTATGTGTTATCAGATATCTTATTTGATTAATTACCTCTGTGCTTAGTAAACAATTTCCAGAAAAGATATCCACATAAGGTAACTGTTACTGAGACCGTCGAGACAGTGATTGCTACTACAGGGATACGTTTCTTGTGATTTGCAGCTGCAAAACTTGTACGAGTTATAGACAGTTCTTGAGCATACCTTTTGTCCATGGAAGTTAAAGCACTCATTGAGAATTGGAGAATATTTTTATGGGAGTGTAGAAAGTATCAGGAGTTTCTTGATTATATGTATCAAAGACTAGAAGACATTAAATTTAACTCACCTTGTTGTTCCAATAACATAAGCTAAACAACCGAAAGCTTAAGGTCGAAAAGAAGTATATTACCAAGTTCAGAGTAGGCAAGGCGAATGAACAAATCAGCCGCCCCATCCGTGGAGAATTCTTGAATACCAATTAAGCTTCTATTCCAATGCATACAACCTATGCCTGTGTAGTATGAATATGCCAAGCAGGAACAATTTTTCAAACAATCACTCTCACAGTTTTCTTTTGTAGATGATACCCAAATTGCAAAATCTGGCACTCCCATTGTCTGCAGCTTCAAAAACCCATCCTGCTTGCCCTTGTCAATATCAGTTTTGTTTCTTTCACAGTCAAGTGCAGTATTTCTGACGCAACCACCATTCCAATCTCCCTTCTCCCATTCTCCTTCATTTTTCGGCTTAAGCCCTCGTATGCAACTGCACATTGGAGAACTCTTTGGGTTACACCTTCCAAATGGCCCGCACTTAGCATAAAAATCACACTCACTTTGGGGATTTGCCCATGTTACCATCCAATTCTTCTTATTTGGATCCCAAACCTTCTCCTGATAAGACCCTGTGGAATTCAAGGAATAATAGAGTATACAAGACTGATTTTGGTAGGTATAAGTTTGGTATGCGGTGCCTGCATTATCAGCTACAAGGTCAACACCAGAGTTATAAAAAGATTTCATTTCTGGTAATCCGATGTAGATCTGTTTGTTCCACGGACCACTACGCCAGTAAGGAGAGCTGTTGTTCCAAATAAAAGACTGGGGAATGTATTGAGGTTGAATGCCAGCTGAGAAACTCCCGATGGATGGATCATCAGGACTTCTCCATGATTTCAGGAAAGTCGTCGTGTTAGTAAACTTATTAATGCCCATTTTCATCAACGGTAAGAGAGAATCTGTAGGATGCTGAAAACTTTCCCATAGAACTCTCCCATTTGAGCTGTCTTTCAGGACTAAGTTGCCAGTGTCCAAGAGCCCGGCAGTTGAATTCCATATAGAGCTTGAAACACTGGACGACCAAACAATCTGCTTCTGTCCATTCAAGATTACAAGATTCCCATCTTCTGATATTGTGAGTATTCCATTAGAATCACGTAAAGGCTTGTCTCTGTTAGCTACCCATACTACAGTTGGTGTTGGTGATGGTAGGTTGAACATAATACCTACATAACGATTTGCAGAATTCCCAGGGCTGAAAAATCCCAGTTTAAATCTTCTGCCGCTGGAAAATACAGTTTCCGAGTCTCTCACGGGAGCACTACTGCTAATGGTATCTGATACATTGGCGCCGGAGAAAACTACATAAAAACAATAAAGTAAAAGATGAAAAAACAGAGGTAAACTCATCCTAAGTTCTTTTCTGCCAACAGGTTCAGTCTATCATTTGAAATGTAAGAGCTGTGAACTTCACGGATAACACTTTTTTTTCTTTCTTTTTAGCCACGAAATTTCTCTTCCGTTTACTTTTCAATCAGTTGTCAATTAATTGTTGGGCCTGTGTCTTAAATGATTTCTTAAGTGGACATTTTGTCTTCTAACTCTACGCGTACTGTATTTCTGAGTATTTCTTGTGCATTTGATACCTGTGATTCTGTAAACAAATTTTGGGGAAGGAAGGGTGTCTGCATCCATGTACAAGCTATATACTCTATAAGATAGTGATATCAGATTTTTATTTTTCCTTCTTTTTTATTTCTCCAAAAGTCCGAAATTTTTATTTTTCTCATCTCCTGTCAAATGATGAGTGATGACTTCTATATTTAGAATTGGTATTCTATACTATAACATTTCGTTACCTTGAATGGTTGAAAATATATTTCTCCAAATGAGTGATTATGACTTGCCTCATTTATATGGTCTTGTTGTAAATATTGTTCAGAATTTTTGTAGATCAGAAATTTCGGTAGTGAGCATAGACAAAACCATGGATACAATTATATCTATCTTCTGCATATTCTTGAACACATAATAGTCCAACACTTGCACATCGCAAAAGTTCTCTTTCAAACTGCTTATCTATTATCTTGGGGTCTACCAATTTGACAAACCATGTTTTCATTCAACTAACACGCCTGAAGAGCAAAGGCATTGGCAAAACAATAGCAAATTGAGCAACGGAAAGTTGACTTTTATTCTCTGAAATGTTAAACATCTTATTTTTCTGAGAATCTTCTTTCCAATAAAAAAAATACCTTGGACCTAAATCAACCCCAAAAACGATCGACCATATAAGGAGATCAAGAAACTCAATCCCACTCAATATGGGACATTCAACAAATCCCACTTGTTGTCTTCTTTTAAACCATGAAATATAGTACATCTGTTCTTAGTCGTCAGCAAAATCCTTGCCATGCCAAAATCTAAAATTTTCGGGTTTAGTAGTTCATCCAATAAAGTGCTGCTTGCATTCAAAACACTATAAGAATTCCTCACCAATTCCCTCAATGATGATCTCACGTTGACTCCAATAACGGGGCTTGAATGTACATTAAAAAATAGAAAGTCTGAAGTTAATATTTCAGATTAATTTTCCATAGCAGATACAAACAATTAAAGAGAGAGGTAGGCATCCAAGCTTCTTTTTGGCATGTATTCATAAACCTGCATTTTCTCCCTTCTCCCTATGAATCAGCCAAGGAGCCTAAAAAGGTTACAATGTTGAAGTTTGAACAGAAGACTACCGTGAAAGCCTTTTCACAGCAATTTCTTTTCCATCTGGCAATTTCCCATTCCCTTGGAAACCATATCACACCAAGAATTATGCTACTTATTAACAAATTTGAGTATGAACTCTTCCCTTCTTCTTGCTTAGATACGGATTTTGTAATCAAATGATGAAACTTATTTATTTATTTATTTTCCTTTTTTGGAGTCCTTTTTTTCGTTGGGCACTCAGCATGAAAGCAATTTGTATTTTGAACTCCATATCTGTATTAATGGAAAAAATGCATGACACGTGGACTATTATCAGGGTGACAGGGCATGGTACGTGGACCGTCAATATAACGACAAGTGGCATCTTAATTAGACAAGGTAAAGAATGCGAAAAAGGCACGGGAAGAACACCCTCGGGGTTATACTGAGAAAAGAGCCGGACCTGACTGCTGTAGAAGAAGAAACATGAGCGAAATGAATAAAGTCCGTTAAGAAGGGAAGATGCACGAACCTGTCATAAATAAGGAAGGGAAATCGATACGGTTATAAGAAATCTTTAGCCATAAATACTTTCGTTACAATTGTATATGGTAACGGGTAATCAAGGCAATTAATGCCACTAGTGAACCCGAATTAAGTAAGGAAACCATTATAAATGCATGCTCCTATATAAGGACTGAAGCCTCATTTGTAAGATCATCGGATAATTATTAAAATTCATTCAATTATTCTTTACTTTATTCTCAAAGTTCTAAACCGCAATTTTGGGAGTGATTACCAATCTGTTTCATATTTTCTTTGTCAATTATTTCTATTACTTGATTTATTCTTCAAATTATTGAGAAAGTGAAGTAAATCTTGGTTATTAGTGACCCGATTTCTTCTTGATATTGACTTTGACCGAGAAATCTATTTTTGGATTAAATAAATTGGTTCAGTTACCGTGAATCTGATAATCTGTTCACTTTCCAAACTTCATTTTTAACGACCAAGTATGTCAACCGTTAACGAGAACAACCAGCTGAACCAATAAGGTGGAACTCCACCACACCACCACACCACACACCTACGGGATCTTCTCAGCAATCCCGTGAGAGTTCACCTGAAAGGTCTGCTTCGTGCACTGATGATCAACAAGGAGACGATCAAACTGTGGAGCAGGATGCTCTAAAGCAATTGATTACAGAACACATGAACAGTGCACTACAGTATTTTGTTAGAGGATTACCCAATGCAGCGTAAACTCCTACACCAGTTAATACAATAACTTTGAAGAACTCGCATTCAGGGCTTGATAACTCTGAAAGTGGAGAAATTCCCAATGAATCTCGCGATAGAGGGTCAGGTACACCAGATAATTTTAGTTTACAAAGTTTAGTGTTAACTTTACAGAAATAGTTGAAGGAGCAAAACGATCGTATAGAGCAAATACCTGGCATGCCTCCCCTAATCAAAGGTGTGGATATTGACAAGTATTCACAGTAACCCTGGAAGCCAAGTGTAACACCTTTACCAATTCTCAAAAAAGTTTAAAATGCCTGATATTTCTAAATATGATGGAACAATTGACTCTTGGGATCACGTAACCATGTTTACTACCGGCGTGAAAGGCAATGATTTAACCAAATCAGGAGATCGAATCGATTTTGGTTAAAAGGTTTGGTGAAACACTCACAAAAAGAGCTTTGAAATGGTATTCTCCTTTACCTGAAAATTTCATTGATTATTTTTCTCATTCATTAATAAAAGCACATTCGGGGGCTCAAAAAGTTAAAAAAAGGATGGAAGACATCTTCAAGGTTAAACAAGGGAGTATAGAATTGCTTAAGGAATTCGTAGATAGATTCCAGCGAGAGAGGATGATGTTGCCTCGAGTACCTGATAACTGGGCGGCTATGGAATTCGCGAGCAACTTGAACGCGAAAAGTTCAAAAGCCACGAGAAGGTTGAAAAAAAGTTTGCGAGAATTTCCATCAACAACTTGGAATGATGTGTACAATAGATACAGTACGAAGCTGCGGATAGAAGAAGATATGGTCGCACAAGTACGGGCTGAAGAAAGACCAGGTTCGAGACGCTCAAAATTAGAAAGGAGGTCCGGTAAAAATATGTACGAGCCATACATGGGACCCGCGGGGTGAGACTCTCAATCTAAACAGGAAAATGCATGATTTGATTCAAGATTAACACAAAAAGATGCGAGTTCTTCATCCAGGTTCAAAAAGGAGCAGGTTTAGGTATTGTTTTGATTCCATCATGAGGAGAAGTCATAAGACATGCAATAAAATATTATCAAATTACTAAACAATGAGGCAGAGTATGAAGCTGTGATTGCAGGCTTGGAACTGGAGCGAGAACTTGGTATCGAACAAATTATGATCAAAAGTGACTCGCAGCTAGTGGTCAATCAAATGCAGGGGACTTACGTGGCAAGAGAGACGCGAATGCGGCATTACGCGTTGGCGAATCTCGCTTCTGTCGCAGATGCGACAAATGCAAAAAATGTCATGGTGGTACCTTTGTTTCATTCAGCACTCGATCAAATCAAAAATGAGGTAAATTTTAATAATTTAACTTGGGATTGGAGAAACGAATTTGTGAACTTTTTGCAGTATGGTATCTTGCCCGAGGATAAGAAGAAATCTCAAATGTTACGGTTGAAAGCTGCCTAGTACTGCTTAATTTGTGAAAATTTATATTGCAAAATATTTGGTGGACCTTTAGCACGGTTCCTTAGACCATCGCAAACAGAGTATGTAATGAGAGAAATTCATGAGGGGCATTGTGGCATTCACGCCGGGGGAAGATCGTTGGTGAAGACATTAATATGGGCAGGATATTATTGGCCAAAAATGAAAGAAGAAGCAGAAAACTTCATAGCCAAGTGTGATAAATGTCAACGATAAGCCAATGACATGCATTGACCAGTGGAACTGTTACATTCAGTTATATCACTGTGGCCCTTCATGAAATGGGGTATGGACATCGTAGGGCCTTTGCCTCAAGCCAAAGGAAAGGTACGATTTCTGTTAATTTTAAAGGATTAATTCTCAAAATGGGTAGAAGCAGGTGCCTTTAAACAGGTGTGAGAAAAGGAAGTCATAGATTTCATTTGGAGAAATATTATGTGTCGATTTGGAGTTCCAAAGGAGATCGTCTATGATAATGGCCCATAATTTATAGGCGCGAAAGTCACCGAATTCTTTTAAAGTTGGCAGATTAAACGAATTATCTCTGCACCTTATCATCCAACGGCCAATGGGCAAGCTGAATCGATAAATAAGGTTATCATCAATAATTTAAAAAAACGATTAGAAGAATCAAAAGGCAAATGGTCAGAAGTACTCTCAGGGGTGTTATGGGCTTACCGAACAACGACAAACCAGTACGGGCGAGGCTCCGTTTTCACTTACGTACGGAACATAAGCTTTGATTCCGATGAAAATAGGTGAACCAAGCATGAGGTTCACACATACCACTGAAGAAATGAGAAAGCGTTACGAGTAAATTTAGATTTGACAGAAGAAAGGAGAGAAGTAGCATTAATTCGAATGACGGCTCAAAAGCAGACGATTGAACAATATTATAACATGAAAGCGAATTTGAGGTACTTCAAGATTGGGGACTTCATCCTCAAAAAGGTGTTCCGGTCAACAAAAGCGGCAAACACAGGAAAGTTGAGTCCAAATTGGAAAGGCCCATATAGGGTTAGAGGCATTGCTGGAAAATGAGCGTATGAGTTGGAAACCATGAACGGCAAGGTGCTACCATAAAATTGGAATGCAGTCCATTTGAAGAAGTATTACTTCTAAACGAGGATAATACCCATGGTCAGGTATCATGCAAGTTCGTTTTTTTTTTTTTGAATTTTACTAACCGTTTTAGATAATAGGCAAAAAGCTGGTCCATACCAAATAATGATATTAGACCCGAAAGACACGCGGAATACTGAATAATTCCCCGTATAGGTTACAACTTTTCTGATGGGGAAAAGGGTTATGCAGTCATCATCTAAAAAATTACCTCCGAGTCTCGTTTGTATTTTCTTTTCAGGAAAAAGACCAAAAGAAAGGAGTTGATCCAGTGTTCGAGATTTCATACTTCAGTTCTCCAACACTGGGGGGACTATTCATATAGAAGGTTACACAAGGAAAGAAGATGTATTCCAAGGGCATAGTTCAGCCTGAATCAAAACCTTGGAGAAACCCTTGAAGACTTTCTCAAAACCATTTCAAAGGCGTTCAAGCTCGCAAATACAAGATATTCCTATGAGCTTTTAGGTTAATGCCATAAATTTAGTCGCAGAAAGACATACTTGAATTTGTAAACCTGCTACAATGAAATCAGTTATGAAAATGTACGAACAGTTATGAAAACATTGTACAAACTTACTTATTTGAGAGTTCAAAAAATAAAACTTCCTCAAATTACTTTTTATTTCATATCTACTTCATGTTTTATATATTTAAACCAATATGAAGATGAGACGTCATCTTCATCAGTGTCGTTAACATAAAATGGCCCTCTTTTATGAAAATTCGTGCATATTGATGTCACGGTCTATTAAAGCATTTTAAGTATGAGAATAAAGCTCAAAAATTAAAGAGTAAAAAGCATAATATACGATGAGATCAATAAAGATATTTATATCATTACCCCCCAAAAAAGACAGGGCGATAAAACCTTCCAAAAGTTGTCCAAAACACACAAGGTAATTCCAACCAAAAACCAACAAACAAACACTTTCAACAAAAGTCAGGAAAGGGGAGAGCTAAGGATCATCATCAACGAGAGAAGAATGATTGACTTGAGGAGAAGAGGGTTGAACATCGACTTCACTAGGAGCAAGTCCATCTCCATCACCCTTAGAACCTTCGTCTTCAGGTATGGAAAAAATTTGACACTGCTGACTCTATTCAATTGTTTCTTTGGATTTAGAAATTTCAGCATTAAGGTCAAAACCTTCTTGGCTGGATTCAGTTAAAGTGTCGAAGTGAGTGTTCAAGAAAGCCCAGCTAACATCCAGTGATGACTTATCTCCAAGGGCTTCATAATCCTTCTTCCACTGCTCGACCTCAGCTTTCAATTCTTCTTTTTTTGCCTCTGAGGCTTCATAAGTTGTCTTCATAGGAGCGAGAGAGATTTTAAGGAACTGAACTTTATTTGTAGAGGCACGTAAGTATTCTTGAGCTTGGGTAAGCATCTGAATCAGTTCACCCGCGTAAATTTCTTTTTCATTAAGGAGCTCTTTCAAACTCCTTATCTCTTCAGTAGCCTTGAAATGTTGTTCAGCAAAGGAGAATTTCAATCTATCCTTATCTTTCTCAACTTGACTGGAAGAAGCTTTTAAAACCACTAACTCAGCGGAGACGATCCTCAGTTGTTGTTTCAAAGCTCTTTTTTTCTCTGTAAGAACGTCATTTTCCAACTGAAGACCTTCAAATTGTTCTCTACAGCTATCAGACTCGGTGTGCAACTCAATTAATTGATGGTCAATCCAAGAGATCCTTTCATAATATCAGTGCCTATCAAATTAATCTACAAAAAGGCAAAAGTAGAGGAGTTACAGATGAGGAAAAAGAAAGAAATATAAGTAAAGTTATACCTTGAGAGAAGAATAAACGATGTCATTCATTAAAGTCAAAGAACCGTGACCCTCCAACTTCTTCTTTTCTACTAGTCCTAACAACGTCTTCAACCACACATCAGCTTGGCCAGATTTTATCAACAAATTACCACCCTCGGGGACTTCAATTATAACTTTTTTCATGTTCCGCCTGCTGCTAGAAGGCTCAGCTTCTACATGAGGAGTAGCAGGGGGAGCAACCATTGGGACAATGCTAGGTAAAGACATATGGGGCTAATAGTGGATAAAACTGGAAGGGAAGCTAGTGGCGGTTCTTTAGAAGCATGCCCGAGGCCTTCCTCACCTTCGAAGCCATGGGCGAATAACCTTTTAATAGGACTAGAGGGGGATTGACTAAATTACCAACATCTTCATCAGAAATTTCTAAAGGAACACTCTCTAGTTCATCAACGAGTCTGAAGGGAATTGAACCTGATGGGAGATCTTGGGAGACAAGGGTTACGTAATCTAAAATCACGCGTCTTCTGACACGCAGTTTTCTCACCGAGGAACCTTCCTCGGTATCCTCATCATCATCAGACCTACGAGCTTCGATAGTTTTTCTTTTGGAAGAAGAAGCACTCAAGATCCGTTCTTGAGCAGAGCTTACAAAAAGCCTGGTTGTGGGAACAGATGCAGGGCTAATGTCGCGAATGTCAAACCCTAATAAAAGGGGGGAAAATAAGTTATATATGAAAAATTAAAGAGGAAAGGAAATCACGAGAATAAAAAGGTACCGTGAGTCTTCACTTTCCAACCAAATTTCTGTGAAAGAAATTTTCAAGATCTTTTGTCCATGGGAGCAGCAGTTAACATCTTTTCTACCCAAGCACGAAAGTCAGGAATTTTTTCGAAAACATCCATGGTTGCCGAAGAAGTAAAAACATGTTTATGAAGAGGAATTCAAGATATCCATGGGGAAAAAAACAACACTTACGTGCAAAGTTTTTTTTTTTCTAGAAAAGACATATTTTCTTCACCCACTAATCCCCTGGTGGGGCCAACAACAAATCTGGCGTACCAGCCACGGTCACGGTCATCCTCAAGGCTGACTAAAACCCGTTTACTCCTAGCCACGAGAGAAAAGACACCTTCACGAAATAACTTGGGAGAGTAAAGATGAAGTAAATGATAGAAGATGAAAGGAGCGGAAACCAAATCCGACAAATAATGAAGGCATGCCACTACCCTCCACACAATGGGACCGATTTGGAAAAGGCAAACATTAAAATAGCGACAAAACTCAATGATCACTGGGTCAATGGGAGGTTTAAACCCTAAAGTGAAAGGGTAAGTATAAACGAAAGAGAAGCCAATATGGTAAGAAGTGGTTCTTTGGTTGGCACCATGAATTAAAACAGGAAAATCTGGTTTCCAATGACATACACGTCGAACTAAAGAGAGAAGACTAGGAGTGATCAGACTTGGGTAGTGTTCAGCAGGGTTAAGGGAGGCTATAGAGAAACTTGATTCTCCATGGCTTCACGATCTGGTACAAAGGAAAACTCTTGAGGAACAATCTCAGAAACTGTAGGCTCACACATGGGTTCATTCTAATCCCCAGCCCTAGAAGAAGATCTAGGGGTTAAAGGGACTCTAGGTCTAGAAGAAGATGGTTTGACGGAACTACTTTGGGAAGTTGAACTGCGAGTAGATAACGAACCAAGATACTGAGTCTGCCACCCCTCCTACTTCTAGTAGGGGCGGTATAAGGAGCAAGTTCGTCGACGATAACGACTTTGCGAGGGTCTGGTGATAAAGAAGACATGTTTAGCGAAGAAAATATAGAGGAAAGATAGAAGAATACGAAGGAAGGTTAAGGAGATGAATATACCAAAGAAGGAAAAAAGATTTCAAAAAATCAATTGAGATGAAGTATATAATGAGAGGCAACCGTCATTAAGGTTGATCATTATGAAGCGCCATAATAGAACTGTCACTTCTTGACTGATGCAGCTGCAGAAAAACCCTAAAAGGCCCTGAGAAACCGTATAACCAATCAAGTAAAGCCACATGGCACGGGCATTAAATGGATGTGACATACGTTGCATCGATTCTGAAAAGGGCATAATGATACTCGAGAAATGGCGGCAAAGAATTCCCGCCATAAATACTTACCACTTCCCGAATACTCAAGTGAGAATATTCAGAAAGTGGGAGACTATCTGTATTAGTGGAAAAAAGGCATGACACGTGGACTATTATCAGGGTGACATGGCATGGTACGTGGACCATCAATATAACGACAAGTGGCATTCTTAATTAGACAAGGTAAAAAATGCGAAAAAGGCACGGGAGGAACACCCTCAGGGTTACACTGAGAAAAGAGCCGGACCTGACAGCTGTAGAAGGAGAAACATGAGCGAAATGAATAAAGGTCGTTAAGAAGGGAAGATGCACGAACCTGTCATAAATAAGGAAGAGAAATTGATACGGTTACATAAAATCTTTAGCCATAAATACTTCCGTTACAATTGTATATGGTAACGAGTAATCAAGGCAATTAATGCCAGTAGTGAGCCCGAATTAAGTAAGAAAACAGTTATAATTGTATACTCCTATATAAGAACTGAAGCCTCATTTGTAAGATCATCGGATAATTATTAAAATTCATGCAATCATTCTTTACTTTATTCTCAAAGTTCTAAACTGCAATTTTGGGAGTGATTACCAATCCGTTTCATATTTTCTTTATCAATTATTTTTATTACTTGATTTATTCTTCAAATTATTGAGAAAGTGAAGTAAATCTTGGTTATCAGTGACCCGATTTCTTCTTGATATTGACTTTGACCGAGAAATCTATTTTTGAGTTAAACAATATTCAGATAAGGAATGCCCTTCCCTAACAAGGCTAACTTGTTAACATGTCAGAAATTCTCACTGGAAAAAGTTTTCTTATGGATTCTTAATATAACTGAGAAAACTTTGAGTAAAGCCATTACTTTAAAAATCACATACAATAATCATTACTGGAAACCATAAAAAATATAAGATGTCTATCGCCCTTCCATAGTGGTAATGCTATCGGTGTTGACAGAGCCTTGAGTTCTACAGGAATCTTTCTTGGAACAGCTTGGTCCTGTCGTAAATGCAGGTTGTTTAGGACTTGGTAAATCAGCAATTTCCCTGGTGAGCATACACAAAACTGTGGAGACATTTGGTCTGTCTTCTGCATATTCTTGTACGCACAATAGTCCAACATGTACACATCTTAGAATTTCCTTCTCGAGCTTCGGGTCAATTATCTTGGGGTCAACCAATTCGACTATCTTGTTTTCGTTCCAAAGCTTCCATGCCTAAAGAGCAAGTGCAATGACAAGACAAAGGAAATTTGAATTATGAAAAGTTGTCTTTTCATTAAAACTAGGACCTTAATTTTCATATGAACTTACATACGCTAGAAGGCTTAATGCACAATCATCTTGGTGAAAGCTAGTGTTCCTCCTTCCACTTGTAATTTCCAATAATAAAACTCCGAAACTGTAAACATCTGATTTTTCTGAGAATCTTCCTCCCATTGCATATTCAGGTGCCATATAGCCACTATATCACATTATGAATTTGAATGGTTGCTTTTCTTTTCATTTTAACCATGAAAAATATAAAGTGAGATTCACAAACTTACTAGGTTCCAACAACCCTACTTGTATTGGCCTGATCTTGGTTGCCTGCAAAAATCCTTGCCATCCCAAAATCTGAAATTTTGGGGTTCAGGTATTCATCCAACAAAATGTTGCTTGCCTTCAAATCCCTGTGGATAATCCTTAGTCTTGAATCCCTATGAAGGTAAAGGAGGCCTCGACCAATTCCCTCAATGATGATTGCACGTTTACTCCAACCAAGGAAGTCTTCTGCTTCAAGGTGTGAACCTGTAAGTATATTGAAAAACATACAAGTGAAAATATTTCAAACAACTTCCTTTTTAGCTAGACAGTATGTAATATAAAAGAAAAGTAATGGTAATCAACTAACCAAAGATATAGGCATCCAAGCTTCTTTTTGGCATGAACTCATAAACCAGCATTTTCTCCCCTCTTTCTATGCAGCAGCCAAGGAGCCTAACAAGATTACGATGTTGAAGTTTGGAAATCACCACAACCTCATTCATAAACTCCTCTAGCCCCTGACCAGAAGACTGTGAAAGCCTTTTCACAGCAATTTCTTGTCCCTTTGGCAATTTTCCCTGTAGTTATATCATATTCCGTCAATTTCTATTCTGGAAAAGGATAATAAATGACTCAATCACACAGAACATTACTTTGTAAACTGTACCAAAACCACCCTGCCCAAGCTTGTTAGAGAGGTGAAAGTTGTCGGTTGCATTTGCTAGCATGTCAAAGTTGTATAACGGCAGCTCTTCAAATTTAGCTTGGTTGATGTTATCTCTAACCAAGCTTAGCTTGTAATAGGTTAGTAATGATTTGCTTGATAAGAGTTCACTCTTTCTCTTCCTTCCTGATTCAAAATGCACGTTTGAGAGATCAACTCAACTCATTTTCTTGATTACAGGTACTGTATATTTTCAAATGTTATAGATAAGCTTGTTACCTCTATGTTTAGCCAAAAGTTTGCAGGAAATGTATCCCAAAATGGCAATGGTTATCGAGCCAATTGGGACTACGATCCCAATGGCTACTTTATGTTCCTTCTTTTGATCTGCATTTCCAAATATTTCCATTATTATACACATATTCTGGCATGCAGAGCTCAACCAAACTTACGTTTTTGTTTTGAGACAGTAAGCTAAAGAATGCAAACATAAGTGAAAAATAGGTATTACCTTGTTCAGTATATGCAAGTCGAAGGAATAAATCAGCCCCACCCTTGGGGAACTTCTGAATATCAAGTAAGACTCCTTCCCAATGCATGCATCCTATGCCTATGTAGTATGAATAAGCTATGCAGGAGAAATTCCTCAAGCAACCACTTCCACAATCTTCTTTATTCAAAGATACCCAAATAGCGGAATCCGGAACTTTCATTGACTGCAGCCTCAAAAACCAATCTTGCTTACCTTGCTCAATGTTAGAGTTGTTTCTTTCATTCTGTAATGCAGTCTTTCTGATGCATCCATTGGTCCAGTTTCCTTTTCCCCATTCCTCTTGACTTTTTGGTTTAAACCCTTGCAAACAAGTGCAAATTGGTGAACTATAAGGATCACAGCTTCCAAAAGGCCCACACTTTCCATAAAATTCACACTCATTTGCAGGACTTGCCCATGTTACTGTCCAGTCATTCTTCCTAGCATATAGTAGTTCTTTTTGCTGCAAAGATCCTGTTGAGTTCAAGACTAAGTAGACCATCCCATCACCTTGATCTGAATATGAATAGGAGAAGTAGGCACTACCCATGTTGTCATTTACTAGCTCAAATCCACTGAAATAGAAAGAAGTCATTTCTGGTACTCCAATGAAAATCTGTTTATTCCATGGACCGCTACGCCAATGAGGTAAGCCATTCTTCCATATGAAAATTTGGGGAATGGTTTCAGGTTGAATTCCAGCTGAGAAACTCCCATCAGAAGGATCTAAGGGACTTCTCCATGATTTCAGCAGATTCGTCGTGTTAGTACTCTTATCGCTGCCAAGCTTCATGTACTGCAAGAAAGAATCTGAAAGATCACTAAAACTTTCCCATAGAGTTCTCCCACTGGAGCTGTCTTTCAAAACTAAGTTTCCAGTATCTGAGAGCTGGGCAGTAGTATTTCTCACAGCTGTTGAAATATTGGATGACCAAATACTCTTCTTATGTGCATTCAAGATTACAAGATTTCCACCTTCTAATATAGTTATTCTTCCACTAGAATCTTGTAAAGGACTGTCTCTGTTGGCTACCCATACAACACTTGGTGATTGGGTATTAAACATAATACCAACATAACGATTCGTCGAATTCTCTGGACTAAAAAATCCCAATATGAATCTGTTATTATTTGAAACTAAAGTTTCTGAACCACCCAGAGATTGATTGATATTAATGGTGTCTGATAAAGCATTTGCTATATGAAAAAACAGAACAAGAACAGCGCGCCAAAGAAAAATCTTCTTACAACTTAGCTTCATTGCTTATCAAGCTTTTCTTCTGCCAATAAGCACGAGAACTGGGGTTGTCATCTGAAATTGATTTTCCTATAGTTGCAGTATTTCATGATATTTTCACTTCTTTTTCTATTCCAGTTGCTCAACAGTACCCTTTTATTCTTAATTTGTCAACAACAAATGTCTGAATCAAATGCCTTGATTGACCCGTCAAATTGGATTTCCTACAGTTGGTGATTACTAAAATGTTTGATCAACTTAGGATGGCTAAGGAAACCACATCAACGTAAGGAAGTTTCCATGCTAATTAGAAATGTCAACAGTTGATATTTCCTTGTCAATCTTAAGCCGGACATGACCAAAAAGTAACGCTGTGAATTTGGGGTCAGCGCTTTATTTGAACGTGGTAGTTCAAATGTCAAATTAAATAATAGGCCAAATACATTAAACTTGTCTCAACTTTTCATTTAAACATTTAAACTAAGCTTATGACGTATCGAATACTTAAACAAGGTTAAACTATACCAATTGAGCATATATTTTACAATTCTAGAGAACCTATAGTGGGTGAAAGCCACTTACTCTGATGTGGTAAATATAACCGGTGATAAAAAGATACCTCAGCACAAAAAGTCAAAATATTTTAATAAAATAAAAATCAAAACTCACCAGGTTTCTGAACCACTGTCTTCCATAGGTGTTCTAAATAACTTCTCCATGCTCATCTTGTATCGGAAAAATGAGGCAAGCTCATTGCTAATGTCATAACCCATAACCAATTGGGAGCTTGTCGGATTTCTCATCTTTGAGCTCTCTGGCTCATAGCTTTGGTTGTATCAGTGATGTTTGGCTAGAATTTCATATTTTAGTACATTATTTACCTTACATTTTGGGGTGCTTTAATGCTAAACTATACTTTATTTGCGCGTAATGGAGTCTATTTTATGTGTAGGTACATTGGAGATGAAATTAGAGCAAAAGGAATATTTAACGTATAAAGCGTGCTCGAAAACAGTAGGAAAGAAGAAAGAAAGAATTGAGCAACGGAAAAATGAAGCAACAAGCGAAGCGAGCTATGAAGCTCGCGTTAGAGCTGGTGAGGCGAGCCTCTGAGCTCGCTTGGGAGCAGGTGACGCGAGGGGTAAGGCGAGGATGAGCGCATTGAATACCTCGCAAGGCACGGTCTGAGGCGAGCCTGATCCGGATTTTGAAGGCTTATTTCGTCTCCTTCTTTGACTAGGGCTTGGGCTATGTCGTTTAGGTCTTTTCCTACACATATAAATAGACATTAAACACCACTTTTGAAGGAGTTTTACGACCGGAGGCAAGAATAGCTCGTGGAACACCCTTGGGGGATAGAATCATCGATTTCTACATTCCTTTATCTTTACTCTGTAATTTATTTATGCAAAATACTTGAGATATTGTTATTGTGAGTATGAGTAGCTAAATTTCTAATCTAGGGTTTTGATGGAACCTATTGGAGGATGATTTTCCTGTTACGTTAATATAGATTTGCCGTAGTTTTTCTCTATTTGTTTAACTATGTTTATATTGTGGTTGGTTGAAGAGCTCTCAATCGATAGTGCCTAATTAATGTGTATTACTCGGAAGAGAGTGCATATTTAGGTAGTTGTTGAACAACATCACTCCTAACGTATATGAGGGATCAATATAGAGGGTTTAAAGGTGGGATTAAGAATAACAAAACCTTGGTGCGATCCGAGTGAGCCGTAACTTAGTGTCAGCTAGCGTAATTCTAAAGAATATGTCTAGTAAATTGTGGTAGTTACTCGGGAGAGAATTACGACACTCAAAGAGCTCATGATCGATAGAGAAAACTTAGGTAAATTTATAGGAAACGTAGCAGAAAGGATTCTGACAATAGGGAAAATCAGAACCTTAGACCATTCCAATTCTTGTCTACAACCTGTTCGTAGTTAGTTATTAATTACTATATTTTCATTTGATATTTAGTTAGTAAACATCCAACTTGTTATTTAAATATTTCTGAATATTGATTGCGTGAATTTGTGCGCTTTTAGTAGTTGTGCTTAATAGGTTAATTCCCTGTGGGATTCGACTCCGGACTTGTTAACCGGAATATATTTGCAACGACCGCTTAGTCCTTTTTATAAGGCATAGTTGGGCGTGATCAAATTTTGGCGCCGTTGTCGGGGACTTTAACGGTGTTATTAATTGCATCTAAAAGAAGTGCTAGAATTCTTAGTGTAGTCAATTTTCTTCATTTTAAACTAAATACATTGAAAGTCTAACATTTGTAGTCTTGGGTGTTACAGGTGCATGCCTAGAAACTTCTCAAGAACTGGTGAATTATTCGAAGTATTATCAGATCCTGAGAAAGTTTTCAAGGCACTGAATCGTGCAAACAAGAAGGGCAAACAGCAACAGAACTCAATAGAATAAATCGAACCAGACATGGATGACGGAATAGAAAATCCAAACAACAGAAACAATATGAATGACCCGAACAATCAGGGTGTGGCGCCTCTTGTGCCAGAAGTAGCATTGTATGATTGGGCACAACCCACTGCCGAAAATTTGGCAATCGCAATTGCAGTCACTCAGATACAAGCGGAATCATTTCAAATCACAAATAACATGCTACATTTATTGCAGAACAAGGGACTGTTCTCAGGTTCTTACATTGAAGACCCTCAGCATCATCTAAAAAATTTCCTGTCAATATGTTTCACGCAAAGGCAACCTAATGTGACACCGGAAGCAGTAAAACTGTTATTGTTTCCATTCTCGGTGACGGGAGAGGCTCAAACTTGGCTTAATTCACTCTCCAAAAACTCCATCACTACTTGGGAGGAATTAGTCAAGCAATTTTTGAACAAGTTCTACCCACCCAACAAGACTGCCCAACAAATTGATGAGATATTGAGCTTCAGAGGCAGAAACCAACAGAAACACTACAAGAAACGTGGGAGAGGTTCAAGGGTATGCTGGTTAAGTGTCCACATCATGGCATTCCAGATTAGATATTGGGGCAGAGGTTCTACATGGGATTGGCAGACAGCTTAAAGTCCAATGTTGATGCTTCAGCAGGTGGAGCAATTTTGAGCAAATCATTCAGAGAATGCAAGATCATACTTAATAAAATGGCTCAAAACTCAGGATGGATGACAAGAGACTCTACGATCACTCATGTTGTTCACTCAGTGGCTTTAGACCCAAATATCTCCATAGCCGAAAATATGGCCACTCTGATGACTCAAATGAGTATCCTCACCAAAAAGATTGATGAATCAAGCCAGAAGCAGCGGGTACACATAGTTGACGCGATTAATGGGGGCTTATGTACACCATGCATTAACCAACCATATGTATGACCTTGGAGTGCAGAAAGTGACAACCAGCACTATCAGGAAGATATGAACTATATGGCCAACTATGGAGGACAAAGGCAAGGTGGTCAGAATTGGGGGCAAGGAAATCAGCAATATAGACCAGCACAACAACAGTACAATAATAGCAGCAATCCTGGAGCTATGCGACCACAGGGTCAAATTGTGCCATAGCAAAGGCAATAGGGATACAACCAGCAAAATTAGCAGCTAGCTTATCAACAACCTTAACAACAGCAAATAGTGAGACAAGATGATGGGTTGTCTGAAATAAAAGGAATGTTGCAACAACTGATTAGGTCCAATGGAAAAATGCAAGAGAGAGTGGACACACACGAATCAGCGATAAAAGGCATTGAGATTAAATTAGGACATATATCAATGGCTCTGAATAATCGCCCCCAAGGGACGTTACTTGCAGACACACAAGTCAATCCAAAAGAGCAGGTCCCAAAACAGCTTATGGCAGTGAGTCTAAGAAATGGTAGAGACCTAGATCTAGAGCAAGAAATTGCTCGCGAAGGCCGACCAACTGAAACACTTGTGCCAGTACCCATTGAGGTAGATGATTCAACAAGGTTAACTGAGGTGCCGATACAACATGCACAAGAGAGCACAAACAAAGAAAAAGAGGTTGCAAAGGAGACTGAGGTAGCACAAGAAATGACAGAAGAAGAGCAGGATAAAACTCAAATCACAGGAAGGAAGCAACCTCCAGCACCATTCCCACAGAGATTGTCCAAATATCAGAAGGATGAACAGTATAAGAAATTCATGGAGATGTTGAAACAAATCCAGGTGAATATTCCACTGATTGATGCCTTGAGGGAGATGCCTGGGTATGCCAAAATGATGAAGGATTCGATGTCTCGCAAGTTTGATTTTCAAGACTTGGCCGCTGTTACACTAACCCGGACTTGTAGTGTTGTCGTGACGAGACCCATAGCTAAGAAGTTGTCAGATCTAGGGAGTTTCACAATTCCATGCACAATAGGCAGTTATGCTTTTGCTAAAGCATTGTGTGTTTTGGGGGCAAGCATAAACTTGATGCCCTTGGCTATTTACAAAAGGTTAGGCATTGGAAGAGCAAGACCCACATCCATGTTACTACAGCTAGCCGACCGGACAGTGAAGAGGCCATCAAGTATCCTTGATGATGTAATAGTGCAGGTTGGAAAGTTTGTGTTTCCAGCAGATTTTGTCATTCTGGACTGCCGGGTTGACGAGGAGATCCCCATAATTTTGGGAAGACCATTTTTGGCCAGTGGGAGAGCTCTAATTGATTGTGAAACTAGAGAGCTAAAAATGAGACTTTACGATAAAGAGATAACATTCAATGTGCAGAAGTCTATGCGGCGACCAAGTGAATTTACTAACTGCTCTCTAATAGAAGCTTTGGATGTAATTTTGGAGGAGGAAGATGAGACTCTGAACGCTAAAGACCCTCTAGCAGCCTGTCTCATGAACTTAGAAGAAGTAGATAGAGAGGAATTGGTGGAGTAGGCGCTGGCTCTTGAAGGCCAAGGGTTCTGGAAAAGAGAGCTCGAATTTGAGTCTTTGCACTTAGAAGAAAGAAAGACTCCTCCAGCTAAGCCATCGATCAAAGAGCCACCATAGTTGGAACTGAAACCGCTACCACCTCATCTCAGGTATGCTTTCTTAGGACCTAACTCAATTTTACCTGTTATTATCTCATCTTGTTTGTTAGATGTGCAGGAAGAACAACTTTTGCAGGTATTAATAGATTGCAAAACTGCAATTGGTTAGACCATTACAGACATTAAGGGTATCAACCCAGCCTTCTGTATGCATAAGATTTTACTGGAAGATGGCCACAAACCTTTCAGTGAACATCAAAGAAGGCTGAACCCCAACATGAAAGAAGTCGTGAAAAAGGAGGTGATAAAGTGGTTAGACATTTTCTCTATATCCGATAGCAATTGGATTAGCCTAGTTCAATGTGTGCCAAAGAAAGGTGGAATGACTATTGTGCAAAACGAGAACAACGAGCTAGTCTCAAAAAGAACAGTCACGGGATGACGAATTTGTATGGACTACAGAAGATTGAACAAGGCCACCCGAAAAGACCATTTTCCCTTGCCGTTCATTGATCAGATGCTAGATAGATTGGTTGGGAGGTCCCACTTTTGCTTTCTGGATGGATACCCATGGTATAATCAGATCTCTATTGGCCCGGAGGATAGAGAGAAAACATCATTCACCTGTCCATGTGGCATCTACACTTTTCGGAGAATGCCATTCGGTCTATGTAATGCACCCACCACATTTCAAAGGTGCATGATGGCCATCTTCACATATATGGTAGAAGATATAATGGAAGTCTTCATGGATGATTTCTCAGCGATGGGAGACTCATTAGATGACTACCTTAAGAATCTGAAAAGAGTGCTGAAACGATATGTGGAGACTAATCTGGTGCTCAATTGGGAAAAATATCATTTCATGGTACAAGAAGGTATAGTCTTGGGGCACCTAGTGTCAAGTAAAGGCATTGAGGTGGATCGTGCAAAGGTTGATGTGATAGAAAAGTTACCACCACCCACTTCCGTCAAAGAAATAAGAAGTTTTCTTGGCCACGCCGGTTTCTACAGACAGTTTATAAAAGATTTCTCCAAAATTGCTAACCCCTCGTGTAAACTGCTTGAAAAAGATCACCCTTTTGTGTTTTTTGATGACTGCAGGGTAGCGTTTGAGGAGTTGAAGAAGAAACTGGTGACTGCACCAATCATAGTGGCCACCGACTGGGGGCAAACTTTCGAACTGATATGCGATGCAAGCGACTATATTGTGGGAGCCGTTCTTGGGCAACGAAAAGATAAAGTCATGCATCTAATATACTACGCAAGTAGAACCTTGAGCGGCGCCCAACTGAATTATACAGTGACAAAGAAAGAGATCAATCTTCTATTTTGTAGGCATGTCATACTTCACCGTATGGAGGACATTTTGGAGTTGTAAGGACAACGGCTAAAGTGTTGGAGTCAGGTTTTTATTAGCCGACGCAGTTTAAAGATGCACATTTCTGGGTGAAAAGTTATGATGAGTGCCAACGGACGAGGATTATTTTCCGTCGATATGAGATGGCCATGAACCCAATTCAAGAGGTGGAAGTATTCGATGTATGGAGAATCGACTTTATGGGACCATTTGTCAGCTCATATAACAACAAGTACATACTTGTAGCGGTGGACTATGTCTCGAAATGGGTAGAAGCCATGGCACTTCCAACAAATGATGCAAAGGCAGTTATTAGTTTCCTGAGAAAGAACATCTTCACCCGATTTGGCACTCCAAGAGCTATCATTAGTGATGGGGGCACCCACTTCTGCAACCGAGCCTTTGCAACGTTGTTGGAAAAATATGGCATTCGCCATAAAGTTGCTACTCCGTATCACCCACAAACAAGTGGGCAAGTCAAGGTGTCAAACAGAGAAATCAAGATTGTTTTGACCAAAACTGTAAATGCTACTTGGGTTGATTGGGCAAGAAAATTGGATGATGCGCTATGGGCTTACCGCACTGCATTCAAAACTCTGATTGGTATGTCACCGTATAAATTGGTATTTGGAAAGGCATGTCACTTCCCGGTGGAGTTAGAGCATAAAGCCTTCTGGGCATTACGACAATTAAATCTGGACTTCGAGGCCGCTGGAACTAGTAGAGTCATAGAGCTGTATGAACTTGACGAGTTTCGTTACCATGCTTTAGAGAGTACAAGGTTATATAAGTAAAGAATGAAACTGGTGCACGACAAAAACATTCTTGAGCAAAATTTTAAGCTGGGAGACATGTTATTATTATTTAATTTGAGATTGAGGTTGTTTCCAGGCAAATTGAAGTCAAGATGGTCAGGACCATTTCGTGTTCTAGAGATTCATCCCACCGGAGCCGTAGAGATTGCTTCAGAAGATGGTTCTCGCAAGTTCAGAGTCATTGGTAACAGATTGAAACATTATTTGGGCATGGATGAGACGAAAGTAGTATCGGTGACTCATTTGCTTGAGCCAACAATGTTGAGCGAGTCTTAAGTTGATTGCCTGCGTCGTGCCGCGACGATAAATCAGGCGCTTCATGGAAGGTAACCCATTGTAATGTTGTATTCGTCATGCCGTGACTTTAAGTAAGGCGCTCATTGGGAGACAACCCAATTCATAGTTGATTTTTAGCGTAATTAGAATTTTTCTTTTCGTTTGTAGGAACTAACATGTTTGCAGGCAATTTTGGCGGATCGTGCACTGGACCTCGCTTCGCCAGGTCCCCAGCGAGCTAGGCCAGGCGGAAAGCCTCGCGTCGCCAGCGTTATTTCTCGCATGNATCTCACACACTCACGCCTCAAGAACCCTCCCTCACAAACCCTTTGAAGACAAGCATTCTCTGCTCTTTCCTTCACCTGCAATATCAATTCAAGGGCAATCCCTCCTCTTAAACATCTAAGGTATGATTTCTACATCCATTCTTTGGCAATTTCGAATTGGGTTAATGCATGTCATTAGATATAAAATTTGGGGTTGTTCTTCATTGTAACAATGTGTTTGTGTGTCCCAACCCCATGAACCACATAGAAATGGTGTTGTTATTGTGTGAACAAGTGGTAGCACGAAACTCCCAAGCTGATTTGGTAGGGTGAGGCAATCCCTCATCCCTACAAGCACTCCCATGGCACTAGTGCATGCTAAGTGTTTGTCATAATGCCTCAAAGGCATTCTTTCTCCCCATTGGAGCCCGAGTCTCCCGGATTGTGAGACTAGTGCTATGTAGATGTGCACCACTTTAAAATTGTAAGTGTGGGGTGGCTCACTGGTAGCCCGATGCTTCGAAATTGGAGAAAGCACCCATTTGTCATTGCTTGATTCTCATACTACGAAAAGATGAGGTGAAGTCTGAGTAACCTCGGAATTTGTTGAAAATCATGTGTTGAACTCTTAAGTGTGGGGTCGCAAGACCATGTTTTGAATTTTGCAATGTGTCCTAAACTGATTAATGCTCACTTGTGTAGATACAAACATGCCTCCAAGGAAGGACACCAGTAAAGGCAAGGCCACATCGACTGCTCCATCTAAAGCTAAGGCTCCCTCCGCACCTCTACCGAAGAAGAGAAAAGGGGGTGAAGCCACTTCAAGTCAAGTTGAAGGACTGCAAGCAGTGGCAGCTATAGCAACCGCTCGCCCACAATCTCAAGGACAGAGGGAGTTTGGACTCAAGAGAATACCTACGCATGTTAAGGATTGGTACAAATGTTATAGGCCGAGACATATACATCCGGAATCTGCTATTCATGAGCGTTGCCTACAAGCCAAGTGCCATGAAATCTGGAGAGGTATTAATGAGTTGGGGCTGCATTATGTGTTCAAAAAATACCGAGGATATCAATGTCAATCTGGTTCGAGAATTTTATGTCGGTTTGGATCCAAAGGATCCTGAACAGCTGGTGCCTATTCGGGGAAGGTTGATAGATTTTTTAGCCTCAGCAATATGCAATTTCTTAGGTGCTCTAGATGTTCCTCAGGAACCCTTGGACAATTTCATCACCCGTCCTACATATCGAGAACTGAGACACACTCTTTGTGGTGTCAATTCTGTGGCGGCGTGGGTTCGGGATAAGAAAACCAATCGTCATAGGAAATTCCCCAACAAGAAGATGAGGGTAGAGGCTCAAGTATGGCTGAAATTGATTAATACACGGCTCCTACCTTGCAATCATGACACTCTCATTAGCCGTGAGAGGACGTGTATGCTATATTTCCTTATGACTAGCCAGCGGGTGAATGTGGGCCACTTGATCTGCTACCAGATGACTCAAGTGAGAACTAGCAAGAGAATTGATCGAATGCCCTTTGCAAACATGTTGACTCAGTACTTGAGACAGGAAGAGGTGGAGGAGGAGAAAGCTTTCGATCATATCATTGATCAGCCCCTACGACTAACGAACATTACAAGCGTTCGGGTTAAGGAGGAGGCTGTTATGCCATCAATGATAGGTGTCGAGCACAATGCTCGCGATGACAGCTTTATGGCCCATTTATATGGGATGATGGACTTGCAGCTTCGGATTGGGGGACGTTTGGCCACTACAGAGGAGAGGGAGATATTGGAGGAGCGTTTCCCGCTCAATGCTCATGCTCAGTGATGGCTACAGATTCCCAGAGGATGAGGATGTCAACACGCCTGAGCAGTCCGAGGCCGAGCAGGAGTAGTCGGATGATGATGATGAGGAGGAGGTGGAAGCAGAATATGAGGAATGGGAAGCCTTCGATGATGAAGGCGATGACGAAGCTTGGTTAGGGAGTTTTCATATACCCTACTTGTTATTTTTTTCTTGTTTTGTCTATTTGAGTATGCACTGAAGACATTGCATGAAATAAGGGTGGGGTGGTAACTTATAAATATTAGTCTTGTTTTAGTTATTTTTTTAGTTAGTGTCGTCTTTGCCTGATATAAAAAAAGTAGAAAAAATTGGACTCTTCCCGACGACGGATCTCCTAGACAGTTTTCTTGAGGGAATTAAGTCTAAAGAAAAAAAAAAGACAAAAAGATTTTCTTGTAGGTAGTGTAGTAATGCCCCCTTGGATTTTCTTTGTGCCGTGGTTCTTTTTCAAGGGTTTTAGTTGAACCGGGTGTAGTTAGTTTTAATTTTTAGGAGTAAAAACCACTATGCTATGAATTGAATTGCAGCGATATCTCTTGACTTTGTTATACCTTGAGAATAGTGAGTACTCTGGTTGTGACGCTTAGGCTCAATGTTTGACTCTAGTATAAGTACCTTAAATCATAGGTTCTAAAATTTGCTTAACTGCTTTGACTAGAGTGTTGTGATAAAATCAATCCTGAGTGAGTTATGTGCCATGTTTGTGTGAGATTTGTATGTATTCTATGCATTATAATTGATGTCTAGAACTTGCTCCGTGTTTGTGTACAAAACGAAATAGTAGTCTTGTTCAGTATGGGAAGTGATATAGGCGTTTCTTTGTTGAGCCAGATATATATAGTTTACCCGCCTAAATGTCATATAACGTAGTTAATCCCTTTGAACCTATAATCCTGTTTCTCTGGTAACCACATTACAAGTCGTATCCCTTTGTTTCAATTGACCATATATTTGAACCTTGTCACCTCTCATGAGCATTTGAATTGTGAGGAATTATATAAAAGTTAAAGTGTGGGGTGCTGGTTTGGCTTTTGAGTGGAACAAATGGAATAAGGAGAAAGGTGCACCGTTTTGAAAAGAAAAGAAAAAACAATATATCAATAATACTCTACTCGATTAGTAGAGTATTACACTATGGGAAAGCCTATGGTGCATCATTTGTGGCATATGAATATTATATCTGAGAGCGAGTGAATTCTTCCGATCTTGAGTTCCTACGGTCTTAAAATGTATTGTGTGTGGAACTCATCTCCTTTGTTGTGTGAGGGCACGTGATTCATGATGGAGAGGTAATGTCGTTGACCTCCATGTTAGAGTAAGTAAGTAAATTATGAATAATACATGGTATTTGTGAGTCAAATCTTGAGGTGAGGATGTTACATCTTTGTGCTTAGTATATTTTAAAGATTTTTGGTGTGATGAGTTAAGGGAATTGCTTAAAAAGATCGTGTCTATAAGTATAGTTTGATTGCTCGAGGATGAGCAACGTTTAAGTGTGGGGTATTGATGTTTGGCTAGAATTCCATATTTTAGTACATTATTTACCTTACATTTTAGGGTGCTTTAATGCTAAATTATACTTTATTTGCGCGTAATGGAGTCTATTTTATATGTAGGTATATTGGAGATGAAATTAGAGCAAAAGGAACATTTAACGTATAAAGCGTGCTAAAAAATAGTAGGGAAAGAAGAAAGAAAAAATTGAGCAACGAAAAAATGAAGCAACACGCGAAGCTCGCTATGAAGCTCGCATTAGAGCTGGCGAGGGGAGCCTCTGAGCTCACGTGGGAGCATGCAACGCGAGGGGTAAGGCGAGGATGAGCGCGCTGAATACCTCGCGAGGCACGGTCTAAGGCTAGCCTGATCCGGATTTTTAAGGCTTATTTCGTCTCCTTGTTTGACTAGGACTTGGGCTATATCATTTAGGTCTTTTCCTACATATATAAATAGACATTAAATACCATTTTTGAAGGAGTTTTGCGATCGAAGGCAAGAATAGCTCGTGGAACACCCGTTGGGGGATAGAATCATCGATTTTTACATTCTTTCATCTTTACTTTGTAATTTATTTATGCAAAATACTTGGGATATTGTTACTATGAGTATGAGTAGCTAAACTTCTAATCTAGGGTTTTGATGAAACTTATTGGAGGATGATTTTCCTGTTACGTTACTATAGATTTGCCGTAGCTTTTCTCTATTTGTTCAACTACATTTATATTATGGTTGGTTGAGAAGCTCTCGATCGACTGTGCCTAATTAGTGTGTATTACTCGGAAGAGAGTGCATATTTAGGTAGTTGTTGAACAACATCACTTCTAACGTATATGAGGGATCAATATGGAGGGTTTAAAGGTGGAATTAGGAATAACGAAACCTTGGTGCGATCCGAGTGAGCTGTAACTCAGTGCCAGCTAGCGTAATTTGGAAGAATATCTCTAGTAAATTGTGGTAGTTACTCGGGTGAGAATTACGACACTCAGAGAGCTCATGATCGGTAGAGAAAACTTAGGCAAATTTATAGGCAATGTAGCGGAAAGGATTCCGACAATAGGAAAAATTAGAACCTTAGACCATTTCAATTCTTGTCTACAACCTGTTCATAGTTAGTTATTAATTACTGCATTTTCATTACGTGATATTTAGTTAGTAAACATCCAACTTGTTATTTAAATATTTCTGAATATTGATTACGTGAATTTATGCGAGTCTAGTAGTTGTGTTTAATAGGTTAATTCCCTGTGGGATTCGACTCTGCACTTGTTAACCGGAATATATTTTGCAATGACCGCTTAGTACTTTTTATAAGGCATAGTTGGGCGTGATCAATCAGTGTCCGCTTTGTTTGATCTACTTGGTGTTTGGAGCTTGCTCGTGAGTTCCTAAAAAGCTTTCTTGCCATTATCTAGCTTACTGAGAGCATAACTTTTTATAGTCTATATTTTAAAGCTGTCAAGTTCTAATTTGAGGACAAATTAAATTTGAATCTGCATTTATTGGGTCTCAAATATATTTTGGCGAAGACGATGAAGGCAGATTTGGGTCTCTTAACACATGAAGAAAAAAATGATTACAGCTCACCCAAAAATTTTTCTGTGAAACTCTATTTTTTCCTACAAGAATTTTGGCTTTGAAGATGAAAATGATTGTGAGTACAGAGAACAAGACAACTTGAAAAGAAAAACAAAAATTATATTTTTGTGGCCATTACGCGTCCTTGTTAGGTGAGATACACATAACTTGTCATGTCACCAAGTTGTGTTCAATTGGTACAGCTCTAATCTAGTTTAAGTGTTTAATGGATAGTAAGCTTAGTTTAGGTGTCTAAACGAAAAGTTGGGACAAGTTTAAATGTTTGCATATGTATTTGGCCTAAATAATATGCTGATTGAACATAGGCAGTGGGCAGAAAGATATTTCACTAGAATAAGATTGTCAAATTAATCTCTGCAGCACTATATGACATAGGCAGGAAACTTCCTTCCCAGTTATTTTATAGAGTTATGTTTGAATACCAGGAGGCAATGGTTCAAAAATATGCCTACAATAATCGTTTATTTATTTTCCTTTTTAAAATATTTTCTGATTATTGAATGTGAATTGTGTATTTGACCAAATCTTTAAAAAAAACAAATTGAACCTTCCAATTTATGGGTAAAAATGGTGGAGGATTAGCTGACACTAGTTTAAAAAAGAGTTTCGGTCGGAGTTCTTCAACATGTTCCAAAGTCACTTTCTGATTGGGTTCCTGATTTGCTTGATTTTCCGTGTGTTTTATATATATATATATATATCCAAATTGCAAGGAAATGTCGTTTGGTGTTAATATCCTCTGAATTGATAAAAATTGTGAGTTCAGAATTCTAGTTTTTTTAAGTTACTGATTTGTACATATTTAATAAATTTCTTAAGATAAATACAGAATTTGGACCAAAGTTATTGGTTCAGCCGAAGCCACAACGTATGTGGGGTAGGGGTGTATAAAGAAATGGATAAACCGCACCAAACCGATAATCCGAGTCAAACCGGAAAAAAAAACCCGATGTGGTTTGGTTTGATTGTGTTTAGTATTGGAAAATAAAATCCGACCATAATTGATTTGGTTTGGTTTTAACTAAAAAAGTTAAACCGAAACCAAACCAACCCGATAGTACATTTATATAATTTTTAAAAATATTTTGTACATATAAATATTTCTTGTAATGCAATTTATAAATATTTCTTAAACTTTTTCACAGTTTTATCTTTTAACGTATTATTTCAAGTTTAGACTTAACATTCTTGAATGGTAAATAAATTTTATAGCCCATAAATGTAATAACTCAAATAAAGTTCAAATCAACACTAATGCTAACAAAAGAAATTCAATTCAATACTAGGAATGACGATAGTGTTGGATAATTATTTTAGTTTTACATTGGTTTATAATGAAAATGCATAACTTTGTTTATCTTTTTCTTTAGTGCTTAGTTATATAATTAATATTAATACTTATTAGCTATACTTATTTTAGCATGACCTATATAGTATTTTTAGATTATGTTAATTTTTATTATGGCTTATTAATTAGCAATATTTATTTTATGTAATTTTATTATCTTATCTTTGTTATTGAATATTTTAATATAATGCTATGACTTATCTCATATTATTATGTTAGTTTCTTGGAAAACACATTATATAGTTGTATTTACTAGGACTTAAGAAATATTTGGAGCACAAGTTACATATTTTATGCTATGAAGACTTTACAGAAAAAAAACGCGAAAATCCGAAAAATCCTGAGAAAAATCGAGATTGAAAAACCCGACATTGTTGGTTTGGTTTGGTTTATAAATTAAAAAACCCGACACCATTGGTTTGGTTTGATAATTGAAGAATCCGAACCAATCCGATTTATGTACACCCCTAATATAGGGATGGGATTCCCTCCGGTACTCTTAATATCCAGTAATTCTCAATGGCTACCACTACTAGAAAATAGCTATTTTTTGACTGCGAATACGGTCGGAATGCGGTCAGAAAATGCTAATTTCCGACCACATTCAGACCGAAATAACGCGGTCGCAAAATAGCTGGTCTGAAATAGTTTACGACCGAATCTGTCCGTAATTTGCGACTACATCGGTCAGAAAGAGAAAATAGAAAAGGACTAACACATGTTGTCAACTGTCCGACTGACGCGGTCGCAAAGTATTTAAATTCAATTTTAATTTTATATTATATTTCCCACTACTTCGGTCGCAAAACTTAAAAATAATTATAATTTTATATAATCTTTCCCACCATATTAGTCGCAAATATCAAAAAATATTTTAATTTTATTTAAGCTTTCCCACTGATGCAATCGCAATTCTAATTAAATATTATTTATTTATTTATATTTTTCACTACTGCGGTCGCAAAACTATTTTAATATTATTTATTTATTTAGTTTTTCCACTGCTGCGGTCGCAGAATGTTATAATTCTGGAAAATTTTAAAGCATTTTACGACGACTTTAGTCAGAATTCAGTCGGAAAATTACAAATATTTTGACAAATTTCGACTGTTTTAAAACAATACCACATGTCAATTCAAAATTACAGCAACTAAAGAATCAATCCACCATTCCTACTAATTAATCCACCATTTCAACTAATCAAATATATAAAATGCAAACAATTAAAGAAAACATAAATATTTATAACTAAAACATCCTAACACAAGTTAAACATCCAAGCGCCATTCAATCAAATCTTAACATTACAATTATAATCAAGTCTAAATATTTACCAAGTCTAAACAACCAACCATAACAAATAATAATGTCTCAAACATCACAACTACGATAAACTAAAACTCATTATCCCCGTCACGTTCGTCATTCAAAGGATCAACTTGATGCATGCTCATAAGTTTCTCAACTAGACTCTGCAATTTGTTAAAATTTGCACGATCTTCATTCCGTTCCTCCTTCAACTCTTCAACTTCTTTTCGTAATGCTTCCACCTCTTTATGATCCTGTGAATTACTCGTCTCACCAGACAACAATGTCGTAGGACAACCAACGGAATATTGTGATTCAAGACCGTAGGTTCTACCTTTCTTTGCACCACCAACCACATGCGTCCATATTGAAGCTACATCATTGAGTGATACTTGGGTTGAGCTACCATCCTCGGAATCGGGTTGACTTTGACGCCATTCCTTCAAACGTTTTTGATAGGCTTCCTGAAATTAAAATGTTAATCATTAAGAAATGAGGACCTAATTGTTTCCACCAGGGAAAATACAATGCCACTTATAAAAGAAATTCTAATTTCTCTACTATGCCTAAAGCCATACCTGAACCAGAAAGCATAAACAATACAATACATTGAAGTTTTTAAAACAGTTTGCATATCTTCCCTTTTCTACCAATACACGGTATGTCATAGTATGGAATCCTTGTCACAAAAGTTATACAACTAAGACTAGCTAGACAACACATCTGTGCTCCATTATTTATTAATGTAATCATTTAAAGCTTCTTTTATGTGTATCATTACTCTATTGTTGGATTCTTGAAATTATTTCATTCCACAAAACTCTCTAGGCAGTTTAAACAAAAGTGCTCACACTTTTATGAGCTGAAAAAAATTGTTGTTTTTCTGAGGTTTTTTATAGCTTTGATTTCTCTTTTATGCTAAAAGAGAATGAGGAACAATTCCCAGTTTCCTTTCATTCTCTTATTTCTTGGTCTGTTTCTATTTTTATTAGTTCGATCTTCTTCTGCTTAGTTAGTTCCAGCTCAAAATAGAATGCTTTTCCAAATTCAACCGTTTCTTGAATATCCACCAGTTTTACAAGGATGAAATAATTGGACAAATTTTTGTTACCTTCCAAAATCTACATCTCTTGTTATTACTTGTTCTTGTAATCACATAAGAGAATTAACAATTGTTGGCAACAAAAAATCCCCTTCTCAGACTATAAAATCCTCTACTCCTCAAGCTCTATCTAGTAAATTTTTCATTGATTCATTTTTCACTGTTGTCACTAAACTTTCAAGTCTAAAGAAATTGTCATTAGTTTCACTTGGATTATGGGGTCCATTACCTGCCAAGATTAGTAGATTTCACTCACTTGAGGTACTAAATATTAGTTCAAGTAGTACTAAGTATCAACATCCACATACATTTTGTGAAAAATAAGCATTAGCTGTTAAGCCTATTCCAAAAACTCAAAATGAGAAGAAACAACAATCCACTATCAAAATTGATGTTGTCATAGGATTAATTGTTGGCATTGTAGTAGTGGTGATTGCAATAGGATTGTTGATACTTTTCAAAGCAACAGAGAGAAAAGAATGCTCATGTCACTGATAATTAGGAAAAGATCAACCATTTCGATAGCACCATGGCTCAAAATAGGCAGTCTAAATTTTCAAGGCCCCAACAATTTTAAATCGATCTATTTACCGCTTTTTGATGGCTTCAATGCAAGAAGTACCACTCAGACAAAAAACATCTAAGTAGACAATCGAATTAACTAATATATTAGCTCTACGATATGTTAATCCACTTAGGTATCAAGAAAGTTGTTTATCTGAAGATGCTTACATACGTCCTCGTAGCACGCGGCTCGACCCATTCTTTTGTACCGTCCTTTTTCTTTTTCATATGTTTGTCCTCAAAAACCTCAGCATAAGTCACAAATCTTCCTTTTTCCTTTTCCTGAAAAAAGAATTTAAGTTAGATAAAGTTCAATCGCATATAGTTAAAATCAAAGCAAATATAATAAGAAAGTTACCATTCTCCTTCGATGGGTCTCCATACTAACTGAACCTCCAGTGTGTAATGAGCCACCTGTATTGGAGGCCCGAGCAGCCTTTCCAGTGTTGCTCCTCTTCTTAAATTCTTCAGAGGCCCAAATCACATTAAGTCTATCACATATGTCTTTTAGTATCCAACTGTGTATCTTTTGTTCGAGTCGAGCCTTATACAAAATATTTTTAAGCCTATCACTACCTTTTTTCTCGAAATTATGACTTATTTGTTGATGATATTTGGAAAGCCATGCACACCTTGTATGCAAATAATTTAAAACATTAGATGAAATAAGAGTAATTTGATAAATAATATAAAATTTATTAGTTTCGTACCCTAAATTGATTCCACATCTGGTCTCTGTAAATATACGGTATATCTGACTATTTACTCCAAGCATCTTGATAAAATGCTTTAACACAATCCATAACCACCTTCGTAGATTCATTGGAAGGAACAAACCTGCATTAAAATTAACATATGTTAAAAATATATTCAAAAATTCAAACGAATATAAAGTAACTACTTACCCAGTAGTCCCATCAGGAATGATAATCAATCTGTAAAGAGAATCGTATGTTACAATCTCTTCAAAAGTCTGAGTTTGTGCACCATCAGGAGCAGGTGTAGATGTATCAATGGATGGGGATGATGGTACAATAGAGCCTCCAAGATGCGGCCTAGAAACGCTAGGAGTGGATGATGACGGAGATGAAGATGGAGCCATACCATTCTGACTAACATGATAGCTTGGAGTTGGAGTCACTGATGACGGAGGCATAAATAAGGAGTCATTATGCTGACTAGTACGATAAGCTGGCGAATAAGATGGTATAGTATGCATGCTATGTGAATTAGAGATAGGCTTATATTTAACTGGATCACAAGGGGGCAAAGTGAAAAAGCCAAGTGGCAATGAAGTCTGCTGAGGAGGATGAGGAGGATGTCTCATAAATGGCACAGACAAGGTAGTGGGACCTAAAGTTTGTTGATGATGATCCGGAGGAGGACTCATAAATGGCACTGACGAGGTAGTGGGACCTGAAGTATGTTGAGGATGTTGGAAATCATGTCTTGTCTTCTTTTTTTAACCAGGTGCCATCTGTGTAATATAAGCAAATAATAAAATATATTAAAACATAACAAATATAAAGTAATTCTTCAACATATTAATGAATAATGAAAAAAAACCAACATGTCAATCCACATCGCTTGATTGATATTCATCATTTAATTCTTCATCATCACTTGTTTTATTTTCATCAAGTAATTCTTCTCCATCACTTGTTTCATTTTCATCAAATGATTCTTCCTCGCTTATTTCATGTTCAACGTCTAGATCTTCCTCCATGTTTTCCCCGGATGTTCCTTCCCCAAAATCATGTCGATTTGATCTACGAGTAAGGACCGAAGGATCATATTCTTCATAAATGCCTTCACTATGCTGCAATTCACCCACTAATTCATCATCAACCCTTTCTTGAACAGTTGAAATGTCATTCTGGTACGCGACTTCTAATGCATCCTCAACTTATATTCTACCTACGGGCTTTGTTTTTTATAACTATCCTCCATGAGGACTTATTCTTGCACAAAGGATAAGGAACATAATACACTTTTTTCACATTTTGTGCAATGACAAATGGATCATAGAATTCATACTCCTTCGTGTGGTTAATTTCAATTATTTTGTACCGAGGGTGAACCTTTGTACCTCTAGTAGGTGTTGGATCATACCACTTACACTAAAATAGAACCAATTTTTTTTTTCGGCCAACCAAAATACTCTAGTTCTAAAATCTCTCAGAGCACACCATAATAATCAACATCTCCATCACCCTTTACCCACACTCCGCTATTATTGGTTCTTTTATTCTTAGACTATTCTTCTGTATGAAACTTGTATCCATTAACAAAGTACTTAGACATCATTCTGACTTTTAGGTCAGGTCCCCAAGCTATATCACGTAGGGTCATTTATGCCATTGGCTAGATTATAAACCTATATAGAGTTAAAGAAAAGTTAGAATTTGAAATATGCATGTAATTAATTTGTACCCATAAAATAAAACTTACAAACTCCTTAAACCACTCCGAAAATCTTGGATAAACAACATCATGCACATTTATACCTATAAAGTAACTTCCGATAAAACTACAACTTTAGTTAGTTAAAATAACTTTGATCTTATGATAATCGTCTTTAATATAAATTAAGACTTACTTATAATAAGGTTGGACCTCCGGACAATTCAACAACACATGTGTTGTAGCAGACTTTTTCTCCATCTCAGTCAGATTTCGTTTTTACTAGTTTTTGGACCTCTTCCTGGTTGATTGAATATGGAAAATGGTGGGGCCAAAGGATCAGTAATGCCTCCATCATCATGCCGATTTGGCCTATTTCTCAAATATGGCACATCATGTTCAAAATAATATGAACAGAAAAAAGAAGTTTCTTTAGCCAGATGTGCCTCGCATATCGATCCCTCAATCCTGGATCTATTTTTCACGGTCCGCTTATATTTTTCAATCGCCCTACATAACACAATCTTTAGATGAAATAATGTTTAATAAAAATACGTCAAGGTAAAATAACTTAAAATTGTTACCTCTCGTAAGGATACATCCATCTACATTGAACTGGCCCCCCAAGTCGTGCCTCTTGCGCAAGATGAATTGGAAGATGTTCCATTACATCAAAAAATCCAAGAGGAAAATTTTTTGCCAACTTGTTTAAAATTATGCAAATGTTACTCTCCATGTAAGCTAGGTTCTCCACCTTCAATATGCTAGAACACAACTCCTTGAAAAATAAACATATCTCAGTAATGGATTTTCATATTCTATCAGGCAAGGCTTTGAGTGCAACATGCATCAAAGATTCGAGGAAAATGTGACAATCGTGGCTTTTCACAGATATCAACTTCCCTTCTTTCATGTCAACACACCTAGATATGTTTGACGCGTATCCATCAGGCATCCTCAAATTCTTAACCCAATCACAAATCTCTCTTCTCTCATCTAAAGTGAATGTGTAACTGGACTTGGGCTTCTGAATCTTGTTGTTCAAGTATGTCAGGTACAGCTCACTTCGCCTACAATATTCCTTCGAGTCCATCCTTGCCTTCAAGTTATCTTTTGTCTTGTTATTGACATCCATTACAGTATTAAATAAGTTGTCAAAAAAAAATTTCTCGATATGCATAACATCCAGATTATGCCGAAGAAGATTATACTTCCAATAAGGTAACTCCCAGAATATGCTCTGTTTAGTCCAATTATGCGTAACACCATAACCAGGTATCTTATTAGACATTGGAGACTCTGTTACCTTAGGTATACTCCTAACTCTGTTCCAAATTTCTTCTGGCGACAATACTGATGGTGGCTCCTCATAATCAGTTTGGTTCTTCATAAATGCACTGGTATTTCTCCTAAACTCGTGATCCCTAGGCAAGAATCGACGGTGGTAGTCAAACCATGTGTTCTTTCCTCCATGTTTCAGCGTGAATGCTTTTGTGTCTTTCATACAAGTTGGGCAAGCTAACTTTCCCGCAGTCGACCACCCGGACAATATTCCATAAGCAGAAAAATTATTTATAGTCCACATCAAAGCAGCACGCAATCTGAAGTTTTGTTTAGTTGATATATCATATGTTTCCACACCTTCATGCCACAATAACTTTAACTCATCAATTAAAGGTTGCAAGTATACATCAATCAAAATTTTCAGATTGCGTGGACCTGGAACAATGCAAGTTAGGAACAAATATGGACTTGTCATACATAACTCAGGAGGAAGATTTAGCGGCGTAACAAACACTGGCCAACATGAATATGGTGCAGCAGAGACAGAAAATGGAGTGAATCCATCAGCACATAAACCCAACCTAATATTTCTTGGTTCATTAGCAAAATCCGGGAATACTCTATCAAAATACTTACATGCTTCTCCATCCGACGGATGACACAGAATACCAGGTGGCCTTCTATTTTTATAGTGCCATCTCATATGAGGAGCAGAGCTCATTGATGCATACAACCTCTTTAACCTAGGTATAAGGGGTAAGTAATGCATTGCCTTAACTGGAACCTTCTTCTTTTTGGAATTTATGACTTCCTTGTAATGAGGTTGGTTACAAAATTTATAATTTTTTAAAGATGCATCATCCTTATAGAATAACATGCAGCCTTTCTCACAACAGTCAATCCTCTCTGATGAAAGTCCTAACTTAGAAACCAATTTCTTTGCTGTGTAGAAATCTTTGGGTAGGTCAATTTTATTCATATTAAGTTCATTCATAAGGCCAATGATAGAGTCCATGCCCGCTTGAGAAATACTCGAATCGGATTTAATACTTAATAATCTAACCGCAACAGACAACTTAGAATGCATTGAACCTTCATACAATGGACGACTAGCTTCTTTTAACTGTTCATAGAAGCGCTTAGCATCATCATTTGGTTCAGACTGAGCCCTCGGGTGCATCACAAAAGCATCTCTAACCATTTCATTAGATCGAGAGTTTTCAAAATTATTCTCAGCTAATGGACTACCCTCACTACTAAAAAAGTTTTGAAAATCGAGATCACCAACACTAGCAACATCCTCTCCATGAATAGTCTTCACGTAATAATTTTTCATAAACCCTTTTTTATAAAGATGAATTTTAACAACATCTGGCTGCAATAACTTTGCACCCTTGCATTTGACACAAGGACACCTAATCATCCCTTCACTGAGAAATTCATGAAGTATTTTCGCTTTAGCCATAAATTCAGCAACCCCTTCTATAAATTCCTCCCTCAACCCACTACGATTAGGATAAGTCCGATTATACATCCATCTATGATATGCAAAATCCATCTACACAAATAAATTCAAGATATTTAACACAATATATTACTCAAAAGAGTCATTGTTACCAACAGAAACAAATGTTGTTGTTATTGTCAAGCCATGTTACACCTTCACACTAATCTACAATTATTTTAAGGCATCCGTCTTACATTAAATTTTATATTCAACTAATTACAATATTTGGTTCTATTAACATCTCCATAATAACAAAACGTGGAATTTCTTCTATAGAAGTAAATTACAGGAATCATCCTTTAACTAAGCAAAAATTTAAGAATATTCCCCCCACTCATATAGTCATATACCTAACTGCTTTTATGCTGATTTCTCAAAGACCCAAAAATCATATAAGAAAACCCAAAACAAAAACCAAGAATAGCTACACGCATAGGGGGTTTTCCCTAAAAAGTAGAAATGATAGTTCCAAATGATAATTTCAAAAATAAGTTACCCAAAAAAAAAAAAACAGAACAGCAAGAAAAGAATAAAAACATATCATTGTAATGAAGTTTGAAGTTAGAATTAACCCATATGAATAAAAAAATATTTTTTTTTTTTACATAAACTCAGTATATTGATATGTTGAAATTGGAATATCATGAATGAAACACATAATAACAACTCTTTTTTATGTATGTTTGCATTGTTCACTTATAAAATTATATTTACTGTAAAAAAATGAAGATTCATGAGCGCAAGCTAGCATTTCACTTAGAAATACACAATTAAACCCATTGTTTTGATATTTCACTTGAAGATCACTATTTGCAAATCTTTATGACCAAACTAGTTTACAAATAGTGAATTAGTTCAGTATTGAAATATTGAAAAACAAAAGTCGTACCCAAAAATATTTTTGAAATGGATCCCAGTAAGGGCTCAAAATATACAGTGATGATATAACAAAAGTCGACTTTGTATTTCAATTGAGAATTTCTTGAGAGTCATCAAATAGGGACAAAGGATTTAAGCCTATCAATTTTTATTGCAGTATTTTCCCTTGTTAGGGAAAATGGAAAACATATAAACATAGAGATGAACATAGAGATCACACATGTACGGTGGAAGCTTTACTTTNTTTCTGACTACCGTGGTCGCAAACCCACTTAAATATTCTTTTACCATTTTAATTTTAACTGAGCGACCGACGCAGTCGCTTTGTTGGTCAACTAATACTTTTGATTTTTTATTGTCCGACCAAATCGGTCGCAAAAGTGAAGGCGGGAAATTGGCGCTCTATTTTCACACTGCTTTCGTCGGAATAATAGTCTAATTTCTTTTTTGAAAAAATATAATAAAAATTCAGATCTGTTTCCGACTACAACAGTCGCAAAAGTAGTTCCATTAGCGACTACTTCATTTTCAGTCGGAAATTTCAGTCACAAATTAATATTTTTCTAGTAGTGTACCTAGATGTATGCCATGTGTGCAGTTGAAGTTTCAAAGGCTTAGATTTACTGGATCTTTTTAGTGTTTTCTATTTGCATTGTTAATAAATTATACTTTCTGTTTATATATATATATATATGTATTAGATAAAGAAAAAATGGTCGCTGCTGCAACATGTCCAGCTCATTCTTTTTTCAAACAAAGATCAGTTTGTCAATCTTAAATATAAAATTCTCATCATATCTATGTACAAACAAGGTATGTTTTATCTAGAAACTCAATTGAATTTTCTTCTACTAAGTGGATGTACAAAAAATTGGCATCTAGAAAAATGAAACAAATGGGATTTTCGATATTTTAAAATAATGTAAAAGTGTAATAATGTGTGTAAAGAAAATCACAAGGTTGAAGAAGAAGAGAACAACATCAGTGGAGGAAGGTGAAGAAAATGGCGTAAACTGATCGTGTCAATTTTTGTTTTTATTTTCTAAGCATTATTTATTAATTAAGCAAATAAAAAACATAATTAAAAAACAATTAGTATAAAATAAATCCAGGTCATTGAATGTCACGACCCCAAATTCCTCTCCGCAGGATGTCGTAATGACACCTAGTCTCTAAAACTAGGTAAGCCTATCAATATGCGGAATAACCAAAATAACAATTAAAAACTTTTAAAATCTCAACCTCTCAGTACATAAAGAAATTTTCAAAACCCGATGAAATACATGTCACAAGCTCTAAAGAAGTAATACGAATATCTTTATATATCAGATTTTAAATGTGAATAGGAAAAACAAAATAATAAGGATAGAAGGGCACTCCGAGGTCTGCGGACGCTGGCAGATATACCTTGAAGTCTCCGCGTTCAGCTAGCTCACTGATATCTGGTCTGATAGGAAGCACCTGCATTTTGCACAAAAAGATGTGCATAAGCGTGGTATGAATATACCACAGCTGTACCCAGAAAGTGCCAAGCCTAACCTCGGTAGAGTAGTGACGAGGTCAGGTCAGGCCCTAATGGAAATAATAAAGGACATGGTGAAATGTTTATCAATATAATAAAAATAAAATGACAATGGAATGAATCAAGTAATATGTCACCATTTAATTATACAGAATAAGGGCAAATAATACCTCGTGGAAGAAAAACAAAAATTTACAACTTTAAGAAAATCACAACAATGATCAAATGCAAATGCAGCCATAAATAAATATCAACAAGAGCACTCCCGAGGTACCGCCTCGTAGTCCCAAATCATAAATAAATTCACAATATCTCATTTTCTTATATCACCGCGGGAGCCTTCACAATCAATTTTAAAGAAAATATTTTTTTCCGAAATAGCATCCCGCGTTTTACCCACCCTTATCACACCTTATGACTTCTAGTAATTTCCCTACTAGCCACGCGTATCAAGCCACCCTTATCTCACCGCATGCGTTTCAACACTCAGACCTTATACCACCGCATACGTATCAATATCACAATATATCATAATTTGCACCCCAAGTGCCCAAATATTTTAACTTGCCAAAATAAATCAACAATAATATTTTTCCATAATAAAGAGCTCACGGCTCATGCCAAAATAAATCAACAACAATATTTTCCATAATAAAAAGCTCACGGCTCCATCACAATGAGTACAAAAATCTCACAAAATATTCGGGAATAAATAACTCAGCAAAAAAAAAAATATTTTAAAATTTTTAATACGTTGCCTCCGTACCAAATTTAAAATATCAAATACTTTATATTAATAATATTTAAATTAAAGAAATTCAACCTTCAAATAATGCACAGAATAAAAGAAACCAAGTTTCAACTAAACAGGTAAAACAATTAGCAGAAAAAGGTCAAGCAAATTTAAAGTATAAAAATCAGATCAATGATGAAGTATATAACAAAATAAAATAATTTAATTAATATGCAATAGTGATCTACACAATTTAAAAATATAATCTTCCACATTTAGCCCGTGTACACACTCGTCACCTCGTGTACACGACTTTCAACACATTACAATTATCACATCAATACCAATCCTAAGGAAAATTTCCCCCACACAAGGTTAGACAAGTCACTTACCTCGATTTGCTTCAATTTAATCCACTAGTAGACCTTTTCCTCGATTATCCCACTCTGAATGGCTCGAATCTAGCCAAAATAATTCGATACAGTCAACAAAAATTATAGGAATCAATTTCATAAGAAAATACTACATTTTTCAATAAAATCCGAAATTAACTCAAAAATCGTCCGTGGGGCCCGCGTCTCGAAATCCGGCGAAAGTTACGAAATATGAACGCCCATTCAACCACGAGTTTAACCATACTAAAATGACTAAATTCCAATAACAATTTGATCCTCAAATTCTCAAATCTATCCAAAAGGGTTTTCAAATATTTTCAACTTAAATCACCAATTAAATGTTAAAACAACGATGGATTCGGGTAATCTAACCAAAATTGAGTTAATAACACTTACCCCGATGTTATCCTTGAAAATTTTTCGAAAATCGCCTCTTCCCGAGCTCCAATTTGATAAAAATAGAAAATGGAATTTTCTGAACTTAAACTCTCTGTCCAGTGGTTTCTTCTTCGCGAACGCGAATCTTACCTCGCGTTCGCGAAGCACAAAAATGTGATGCCCAACTTTCCTCTTCGCGAAAGCGAGGGTCCACTCGCGAACGCGATGCCTTACCAAACTTGGCCTTCGCGAAGGCAATCCCTCCTTCGCGAACACGAACGCCTTGGCCTAGCTTGGCCTTCGCGAACGCGATCCCAATACCCTAGCTTGGCCTCGCCTTTCTACGCGAACGCCTTCACGCGTTCGCGATGAACACTGCCATCACCCTTCGCGAACGCGATTCTTTCTTCGCAAACGCGAAGAGAAATTTCTCGCCTGCCCCAGTTCCCCTTCGCGAATGCGAAGAAGGAAACTAGAGCTGGACACCAGAAATCCTTTAGCTGTTCCCAAGTCCGAAAATGATCTGTTAACCTTCCGAAACTCACCAGAGGCCCTCGAGACCTCAACCAAATATACCAACAAGTCCTAAAATATCATACGGACTTAGTCGAACCCTCAAATCACATCAAATAATGCTAAAATCACAAATCACACCCCAATTTAAGCTTAATGAAACTTAAGAATTTCCAACTCTCACATTCGATGCCGAACCCTATCAAATCAAGTCCGGTTGACCTCAAATTTTGCGCACAAGTCATAAATGACATAACAGAGCTATAAAAATATTTGAAACTGGATTCCGACCCCGATATCAAAAAGTCAACTCCCCGGTCAAACTTCTAATCTTAAATTCCTATTTTAGCCATTTCAAGCCTAATTTAACTACGAACTTCCAAATAAAATTTCGATCACGCTCCTAACTCCAAAATCACCATACGGAGCTGTTGGAATCATCAAAATTCTATCTCGGGATCGTTTACAAATAGGTCAATATCCAGACAACATTTTTAACTTAAGTTTTAAACTTTGAAACTAAGTGTTCCAATTCATTCTAAAAATCTCATCGGACCCGAACTAATTACCCCGATAAGTCATATAACAGTTATAAAGTACAGAATGAGCAGTAAATAGGGAAACAGGGGTATAGCTTTTAAAACGACTGGCCGGGTCATTACATCCTCCCCCTCTTAAACAAATGTTCATCCTCGAACGTAGTTAGAATTTTACCTGGAGTGGTGAAAAGATGAGGATAACAGCTGCGCATATCATGCTCGGTCTCCCAAGTCACCTCCTCGGCCGGATGACCCCTCCACTGTACTTTTACTGAGGCGATGCTCTTCGATCTCGACTTTCTAACCCATCTGTCCAAAATGGCCACTGGTTCCTCAACGTAAAGTAGATCCTTGTCCAACTGGACTAAGCGGAAGTCTAATACATGAGATGGATCACCGTGATACTTCTGGAGCATGAAAACTTGGAACACTAGATGAACTACAATGAGATTAGGTGGTAGTGCAAGTCTATAAGCCACCTATCCAACTCTCTCAAGAATCTCAAAAGGTCTGATATACCTCGGGCTCAACTTGCCCTTCTTTCCGAACCTCATAACACCCTTCATAGGTGAAACCCAGAGCAAGACCCGCTCACCAACCATGAATGCAACATCACAAACTTTACGATCCGCATAACCCTTTTGTCTAGATTGGGCTGTACGAAGTCGATCTTGAATCAATTTAACTTTTTCCAGAGCATCTTGAACCAAGTCCGTACCCAATAATCTAGCTTCGCCCGACTCGAACCACCCCACTGGAGACCGGCACCTCCTACCATATAAGGCCTCATACGGCGTCATCTGAATGCTCGAATGATAAATGTTGTTGTAAGCAAACTCCGCAAGTGGTAAGAACCGATCCCAAGCACCCCCAAAATCCATCACACACGCACGAAGCATATCCTCCAGTATCTAAATAGTGCGCTTAGACTGTCCATCCGTCTGAGGGTGAAATGTTGTGCTCAACTCAACCCGAGTACCTAACTCCTTCTGTACAGCCCTCCAGAATCGTGATGTAAATTGCGTACCCCGGTCAAAGATGATAGATACCGGTATGCCATGAAGTCTGACAATCTCGCGAATATAGACCTGAGCCAGCTGTTCCGCAGAGTAAGTAGTAACTACAGGAATGAAATGGGCTAACTTGGTCAACTTATCCATAATCACCTAGACTGCATCAAACCTCCGCTAAGTCCGTAGGAGTCCAATAATGAAATCTATAGTGATCCGCTCCCATTTCTACTCCAGAATCTCTAACTTCTGAAGCAACCCACATGGTCGTTGATGCTCATACTTCACCTGCTGGCAATTTAGACAGCGAGCCACATACTCCACTATGTCTTTCTTCACCCTCCTCCACCAGTAATGTTGTCTCAAGTCCTGATACATCTTCGCGGCACCCGGATGAATGGAGTACCACGAACTGTGAGCCTCCTGGAGAATCAACTCATGCAAACCATATACATTAGGCACACATAGCCTACCCTGCATCCGCAATACACCGTCATCTCCAATAGTGACTTCCTTGGCATCACCGTGCTGAACTGTATCCTTAAGGACAAGCAGATGGGGGTCATTATACTGATGCTCCCTGATACGATCATACAGAGAAGACTGAGAAACCACACAAGCCAAAACTCAGCTCGGCTCGGAAACATCCAATCTAACAAACTGGTTGGCTAAGGCCTAAACATCCAAGGCTAAAGGCCTATCTGCTACCGGTAAATATGCTAAGCTGCCCAAACTCTCTGCCTTACGACTCAAGGCATCAGCCACTACATTGGCCTTCCCGGGATGATAGAGAATGGTGATATCATAATCCTTAAGCAACTCCAACCATCTCCGCTGCCGCAAATTAAGATCCTTCTGTTTAAATAGATGTTGTAGACTCCGGTAATCGGTGTAGACCTCACAATGGACACCATACAAATAATGCCGCCAAATTTTCAAGGCATGAACAATAACTGCTAACTCAAGGTCATGTACCAGATAATTCTTCTCATGTACCTTTAACTGTCTGGACGCGCAGGCAATCATCCTACCTTCTTGTATTAACACTGCACCGAGACCAATACGTGACGCATCATAATATACAGTATAAGACCCTAAACCTGTAGGTAATACCAATACTAGGCCTGTAGTCAAAGCTATCTTGAGCTTTTGGAATCTCTCCTCACATCCCTTGTTCCACCTGAACGGAGCACCCTTCTGGGTCAATTTGGTCATAGGTGCAGTAATAAAAGAGAAACCATCTACAAATCGGTGATAATACCCTACCAAACCAAGGAAAATTTGGATCTCCGTAGCTGAGGACAGTCTGGACCAACTCGGCACTGCCTCAATATTCTTCGGATCTACCTTGATCCCCTCTCACGAAACTATATGACCCAAAAATCTCACTGAATCAAGCCAGAATTCACACTTTGAAAATTTTGCATATAACTTATTTTCTCTCAAAGTATGAAGCACAGTCCTCAGGTGCTGCTCATGATCTTCTCGACTCCGGGAATACACCAGAATGTTGTCAATAAACACAATGACGAAAGAATCAAGATAGGGCTGAAATACACTATTCATTAAGTGCATAAATGTTGTTGTGGCATTGGTTAGCCCAAATGACATTACAAGGAACTCATAATGACCATACTGAGTCCTAAAAGCAGTCTTTGGGATATCTGGCTCCCGAATCTTCAACTGATGATAGCTTGAACGCAAGTCGATCTTAGAAAACACTCTGAGACCCTGAAGCTGATCAAAATAAGTCATCAATACGTGGCAATGGATACTTGTTCTTCACTGTAACCTTGTTCAGCTGGCAGTAATCACTACACATCCGCATAGAACCATCCTTCTTCTTCACAAATAAGACAGGAGCACCCCAAGGCGATACACTGGGCCGAATGAAGCCCTTATCAAGCAACTCCTGTAACTATCCTTTTAATTCTTTCAACTCTACTGGGGACATATGATATGGTGGAATAGAAATGGGCTGAGTGCCCAGTAACAAATCAATGCCAGAGTCAATATCTCTGTCGGGTGGCATACCCAGAAGATCCGCTGGAAATATATCAGGAAAATCCCTTACTACAGGAACTGACTCCATGGTAGGAAAATAAGATGACACATAAGAATAAGTGGAGTCTGGATCAAATAAGACTGATGCATCTCTATGACAGACCGGAATAATACATGTGATAACAGAATCGGAAGAAACGACCTTTGTCCTAGCAGGAAGGGCATAATATCTAGCCTGGCCTCCCCCTCTAGGGCGACCTCTACCTGTCCGACCTCCACCTCTAGCTGGCTGTGCAGGTGGGGTGGCAATTGGTGCAGTAATCATGGCTTGAGAAGCCTGAGGGCCCTGTGGAATAGGTGGGGCCTGAAAAATCTGTGGAGGTGCACCCCTCCTAAGTCTGGGGTAATCCTTCATGATATGACGAGTGTCACCACACTCAAAACAAGCCCTCGGAAGATGTGGCTACTGGGACTGGCTCGGGCCTGATCGACTAGACTGCCTGTTGAAGGCACCTCGTACAAGAGGTACAGAAGACACTGGCGGTGCATAATATGGAATATGAGGTCTAGGAGTAGCCGGAATATCACTGGAAGTTAGAAGTGCTGAATGAATAGGACGACTCACATAACCTCTACCATGATGGGCTGCAACTAGGGGCACGAGAGTTATTATATGTGCCAGAATCTCGGGGTCTCTTAGTTTCCCTCTCTTCCTTCTCCCGAGTTCGCATACCCTCCAATCTCCTAGCAATTGACACCACTTGTTGGTATGTGATGTCCATCTATAGTTCTCAAGCCATACTGAATCTGATACTATGGTGGAGCCCCTCAATAAATCGGCGGACCTGCTCTCGAATAGTAGCAACCAAGGCTGGTGCATGCCTAGCCAAATCACTGAATCAGACCGCACACTCTGACACGGTCATAGCACCCTGGCGCAGCTGCTTAAAATTTGTACGCCATGCATCCATAAGACTCTGAGGAACATACTCCCTTAAGAACATATCTGAAAATTGAGTCCAAGTGAGTAAAGCTGCCTCAACCGGACTATCCAACTCATATGCCCGCCACCACTGGTAGGTCGCTCCTCTAAGCTGGAATGCCATGAAAGAAACCCCACTGGAATCCACAATGCCCATAGTATGGAGGATACGGTGACATTCCTCAAGAAAATCCCGAGCATCCTCTAAAGCTAAACCGCTGAATATGGGAGGGTGGTACTTCTTGTACCTTTCGAGCCTTAGCTGCTCCCCCTATGAAACTGCTGCCCTAACCTCGGGTCGAACTGGGACAACTGGTTGCACTGGTATAACCTCTGGGGCATGGTCAACTTGGGCCTATGGCTTTGGGGTATGGGCGGCGGGAGTCTATGCTCCTCCCCCAGCCTGAGATGTGGCAAGAGCAAGAATCAACCCTGCCTAAGCTAGAGTACCAAACATGCTCAAAACATGGGCAAGAGTCTCCTGAAGTGCAGGGGTAGTAACAGGCGTCTCAGGTGCCTGCTCTCCAACTAGAGCTACTGGTGGCTCCTCTACAGCAGCTCGTGCAGGTGCTCCGGCTACACCACGTGGTCTTCCTCGACCTCTGGCACGACCTCTACCCCGATCCTGGCCTCTTGCGGCTCTAATAGAGGGCGCAGGGTGTCTGATCATCGGATCCAGTTGTGCGTGTCCTCACCATCTGTGAGAGAATATAAAGACAATGGTTTAAAATTTTGAAGTCAACAAATACTCACGATAAGGAATCAAAGAAGTGAATATTTTCCTAACGGTTCCATAGCCTCCCGAAGATAAGTACGGACATCTCCGTACCGGATCCGCGAGACTCTACTAAACCTGTTTGTGACTCATAATACCTATGAACCTAGAGCTCTGATACCAACTTGTCCGCGTTCAGCTAGCTCACTGATACCTGGTCTGATAGGAAGCACCTGCATCTGCACAAAAAGATGTGCATAAGCGTAGTATGAATATACCACAACTGTACCCAGAAAGTGCCAAGCCTAACCTCGGTAGAGTAGTGACGAGGTCAGGTCAGGCCCTACTGAAAATAATAAAGGACATGGTGAAATGTTTATCAATATAATAAAAATAAAATGACAATGGAATGAATCAAGTAATATGTCACCATTTAATTATACAGAATAAGGGCAAATAATACCTCGTGGAAGAAAAACAAAAATTTATAACTTTAAGAAAATCACAACAATGATCAAAGGCAAATGCAGCCATAAATAAATATCATCAAGAGCACTCCCGAGGTACCGCCTCGTAGTCCCAAATCATAAATAAATTCACAATATCTCATTTTCTTATATCACCGCGGGAGCCTTTATAATCAATTTTAAAGAAAATATTTTTTTCCGAAATAGCATCCCGCGTTTTACCCACCCTCATCACACGGCATGACTTTTAGTAATTTCCCTACTAGCCACGCGTATCAAGCCACCCTTATCTCACCGCATGCGTTTCAACGCCCAGACCTTATACCACCGCATGCGTATCAATATCACAATATATCATAATTTGCACCTTAAGTGCCCAAATATTTCAACTTGCCAAAATAAATCAACAATAATATTTTTTCATAATAAAGAGCTCACGGCTCATGCCAAAATAAATCAACAATAATATTTTTCATAATAAAGAGCTCACGGCTCCATCACAATGAGTACAAAAATCTCACAAAATATTCGGGAATAAATAACTCAGCAAAAAAAATAATATTTCAAAATTTTTAATATGTTGCCTCCGTACGAAATTTAAAATATCAAATACTTTATATTAATAATATTTAAATTAAAGAAATTCAACCTTCAAATAATGCACAGAATAAAAGAAATCAAGTTTCAACTAAACAGGTAAAACAATTAGCAGAAAAAGGTCAAGCAAATTTAAAGTATAAAAATTAGATCAATGATGAAGAATATAACAAAATAAAATAATTTAATTAATATGCAACAGTGATCTACACAATTTAAAAACATAATCTTCCACATCTAGCCCGTGTACACACTCGTTACCTCGTGTACATGACTTTCAACACATTACAATTATCATATCAATACCAATCCTAGGGGACAATTCTCCCACACAAGGTTAGACAAGTCACTTACCTCGACTTACTTCAATATAATCTACTAGTAG